TCACTTGTATCCAGCACGCTGAAGAAGACGGACCCGGACCTCACCACGGAAGCAGTTCTCTCCCGGATCAAGAATTTCTACCCGACGCCCCTGCCAAGGTGGACTCTGTGAAAAAGGACAAGGACTCTGGCTCTCCATCATTGGAAAGGACACCTTCCCGCTCTATGCAAGTCCCGTCAATCGACGGTCTCCACGAAGCAACGTGATCACCTGGCGCCTGCTCCTGCTTGCTGTACGAAGGAAACCGACGTTACCTCATCCCGGCTCTCTGAAGTCAAGCTTGGCTCTCTCCAGTAATCGCGTAGTGATGAAAGGTATGCCACAAGCGCTGCCTCATCACTCTACGTATTAATATTTTTCTCTTTACAGGTTTAATTCACTCTTCACCACAGGTGCATCGCCTGTCCTGCTTTTGGGCTATCCCAAAAAAGTATACTCTTCTAATTGCATGTCACGTTCACTATTCCGATAGTGAAGGTTTCATGCAATTAGCCGACTTGCTTTAATAAGCACCTTCTGTGCCTATTAGAACGTACTATTCAATTATCTCATTTAATATTCCAAAATTTCTCACTATCCCCATCTCAACCTAACCCCTAAATTGTGGAATTGAATCACTCTCGTTTTCAATCTCCATCAATTTAGTGGCATGCTTTAATGCAAATCTTCTATTTGCATTAGAACGTTGTTTTCTTTCCCTCTTTCGGCCAATCATTCATATAAGCCACTTTTTCACCTCTCAGCTCTTTTCTTCTCTGGTTTGCTTCTTTTTCCTAAAAATAAGCTGGTCCCTCGGTTTTAATTTATCCCCCCCTCTTTTCTGTTTCGCTCCTTTCTCATATCCAATTTTTTCTCCTCCTCTTCTTTTTTTTTCTAAGTTTTTCCCCTCTATATCGCTCACAGCTTCTAATGGCATTTCTGCCTAAAGTACCTTTTGGAAAAAAGGAAGAAATAAATTAAACAAGTATAAGCAGAATAATTTAACAGATAATTTTCCAAATTACATGGGTCAAAATTTAAATAATGGGGTTTTAAGGGATTAGAGGTCTCACTTTCAGGCATATGGTTCTCCATTCTTGGCTTAAAATATTGTTTCTGCTCATTGCTTTATAAATTGCACTATTATCAGTAATCTCTGTGAGTAGTATGAATTATGAAGTGGAGAAAGATTGTGCGAACATATTCAGCATGGCTCTAAGAAACAGGTATTCATTTTCCCTCCATTGAGCACATTACAGCATAGATATGCAGGTAAGAAGAGTTCCATTGCATTTTTAAAGTGCAATCTAGTTCAGATGATTTGAAATCTGCTACTGATTAGATGAGAACAGGCCATTTTCTTTTAATCTTCTTTCCAAATGCAGAGGCGCCAATTCTCATTTTTTCCACCGGAGATTCGCCATTGCAAATTTTTTAAGCAACAACAATTTTTTGATTCTAAATTGCTGTCTAAAGAAGCACACATTTTTTGAAATGTTAAGATTGGCGGCAGGGCAAATAGAACAATTTGTTTCATGACCGTGTATGTGTTGCTTAATTCATTTACTTAGTAAATAATCCATTCCTATTAGGGAAAGACAAATTAATGTGTGAATATATTGACAGTGTAAGTCAGCAATCACATAACTCCATTTGCGACGTTGTAGACTTCCTGTCATACTTTATTTTTTAAAGGAAAAACTACTCGACGGTAATTCTTTAAAACTGCCACGATTTTTCTTCTCTAAGCGAAGAAAATTTTGCATAAACTTTAAGGAATGATGTCAATTTGTTCTCCTTTAAAAAAATAACATGGAGGCGGAGATTTTCAGACACCGCAAACGAGATATGTGATTGCCGACTTACACCGTCGATATGCTGTAAAGTGTACAGGATGATCCAAAAGTGTTACATGATCATCAGGCATTACCCTTTTAAGTTTCGAACAAATTGAGATAGAGACATGACATTTTGTGATTGCTCTAAAGTCCAGGGAAACGATATTTGAGAAACCCCAAAATTTCAAAGGGACCACCCTGAAAAGGGGTAGGAACCTCATGGATTACGGAGTGGTGCAGGTCTTATGGATCACCCTGTAGAGGAGTACATAAAAAGCTGTCGAAGAGACTGAGGGTAAGTACCTACCTATATTTTTCAAGTGAGACTTCCTCGCCAGTGGTAGTTTTGGCCGTAAAATCGTAAACAGACTTAGCATTCTTCCACCAATCACCAGTCTTCTCTGATACAGAGCAAGTTTCACTTCCCATGTTGGCGCAAGGGATTGTTCCTCTGAGTACAAAGTTTGTTAACAGCAACTTTGGCGCCGTTAGTTTGGTGAGCAGGGTAGTCAAATTCTGATTAAACTGCAACATTAGCTTCAATTATTTGCTAAATATGAAAAAGCATATGTGCAAATTAGGGGAAGAGAAAGATAAATGAAAGTGAGCAAAAAGTAGCTTCAGAAAATGGAATCGATAGAATAGATAAATTCATATAGATTGAAAGACTGGAATGATAGAGATGATAAAAAGTAATGAAATCATGAAAAAGAAGAATTTGTCATTTATACAGTAGGAAGAAAAATGATTTTTATTCCTCACCTAGAATAAAGGAGAAATTTAATTTTTATTTAATAAACCTGGTACGAATGAAGCAGATACTATTAAAAAGGCTGATGACTAGAATCATGTGACTGGTAGAGGTATTTTTCTAGTAATTCCGGCAGAAAGTATAGGATACTGATCATTGAGAAGCCAGGTGATCTGGAAAGTTTCAATCTTTATATGATCTTCTTCGGTCTAGAAATAAAATTACTCTGGTAAGGAAAGCAGGAATTTCTTAGCTTGCGGGCCAATTATTGAAAGTTTAAAGCAGCCCGATAAGCCATCGAATTGCGATACACTGCATGGTTCAGATAGGGCAATGTCTTGTCGTGTCAGGCTGACACAGTTGCAATAATCGGGCCGCTGGTCCCATTTTAAAACCATTGTCTACTGAAAATTTACTAAGTAACTACCCATTTTTTCCCTGCTCCATGCTTACAAGCAGCCGCAATTTGGCCAAAACTGTGGCTTCTTTGTGCAGTTACAAGCTGCTCTTCCCACTTTTAAAACCTGTATTTGTACTCTTCCCATTTTTGTATGCTACTCGCTGGTCACACAGAGACGAAGTTCAGAGGGAATCACGAGAGAAAGTAGAAATATTTGGCTCACAAAATCAAAAAGTTCCTGCTTTTTCTTCTTATTTTTTTGGCTCAATTTTCAACAGCCAGTGAAAGAGCAACGTATGAGGTCGCAACTGAAAACAGTATTCCCAAGCGTTGTTTTGACTCACAACACAAAAACAAGATCAGGGGGACATTGCAATTGTTCCCTAATTTTTACTTCAGGGATCCTCGCATTATGGCGATGTTTGGGTATGCACACAAAAATAACCTTCACCCTTAAAACTGAAAAACAACTTCAAAGAAAATATGATTATTGCTTGTTTTCAGAAACTATTGTAAGTGATGTTTCCGAGCAAAATATGTCTAGTCTGTTCTTCCTCTTTAACCAGGCAATGAGTCATATGAATATTTCATTTCATATACTGCGGCACTATTAATTTAATCTTAACCCAACATTAACTTTCTAGGAACTATTCAAATTCGCACACTATTGTTTACAGATGATAGCATCATTTAATTGGACGTATTTCTGCCAAACGGAACTATGCGCATTATGACGTGAGCCTAATAATGCATACATTCTCATGGGTCTCAGGACACATGTCTTGATTCACATAGTTCCGTTTGGCAGAAATACGTCCAATTGTAAGCGTGCAAAGTTGCTCACAGCGGTGTGCACTGAGATATAGTTACTCGCCCACACAATAACTCAATGCCCTTTGACCCCATGAGTAGGACAAGAACAGATAAGGCAATCCGCACTTTCTCTCTTCGAAACTGCAAATTCAAAGGGCAGCCAAGTCATGTACAAGTGAGAAACAAGATTTCACCCCAAGCCACTAGTTGCTTGTGATTTTCTATGACAAACTGATTTATTTCTCTGGGGTGCGGTTGTTCAGCAGCCACCAAATAATTTGAGTTTTCAGGATAAGCTATACATACCAGGTCTACTGAAAATCTGAAAGGTACGGCTCGTTAAGAGTTAGCGACTAAGTTCTCTCCAGTTGATCATTGGGAGAACAGAAATATGATGAATTTGTTATTTCACAATGTGATACAATGGGGCATCTCGGAATGATAGGTGGAGTGGTTCAAAAAACTAATTACTAATTCAGAAAACTTCAGAACTCTAAATTAAGAAGTAAATCTGTATCCTAAGGAGTAAGCAGGAATGCCTTAAAATATCAATTTTTTACTCACTTTCAGGAATTCAGGAAGAATTTCGTGAACGGTGATAGATAAGGATGCGGCAACTGAGACTTCAAGGTTACTTATCAGCAGTTTTGTTTGTTTACAGACACTATATTAAAGCCTGGTTACATTGCCGATGTGGATATATCAATGTATCAAGTTCGATTGTTCGATTCGTCTGATTCGTCCATTCGCAGTCGCGCGCCAATCAGAACTGCGGATCCTAAAAACTAAGATACTAAAACCACACAGATGACAGATGGAATATTAGTGTGATAAAGGCTTAACCTTCAAAACCCGGCTTGGTCCCCGTTTCCCGTCCGCGTTGAATTAATTTGCCTATTAGATTATCCTTTTCAGTTAAATAATTTAAAATTCCAAAAATGTCAGTGGAAGAATCGCAAGAAATCAACCTTGAGGCGGATCAAGAATTGCGAATTGAGGTCGAGAACAAAAATGAAACGGTCACAATTGAGGTAGGTTTCATTATCCCTAGGTTGAAATTTAACTTTCACAATATGCAACCTTAGTATTCTTCAAATGAAGCTGATTTGTATGATATTTACCCTTCCTATGAAAGTAGAGTCCTTTTGCCTGCTTGGGTTCAGAGAAAGGACCAAATTTTTTCACTGTTTTGCTGGAGATGTAATGGAAGCGCCTGGAGACCTCCCTAACCAAATAACATATTGTCAACGTCCCTAAAATTGTACAAACCTTTTTTCACCTGCATTTTACATTCCTCTGTCTAAATTTTAGAAAAGTTGGGAGAAAATCTAAAGTAAATTGCTGAACAGAACGCATAGTTCTCTGCCAACTGAACACTTTAAAGGGCTTTTTTTTTTATCCGAACCATGCACAGTGGACCGCAACGGAACACATCGCTTTTTTATCGCGTTCAATGTGTTCCAGTCCAGTGGAAAGCTTGGACCACTCTTCCAAGGTAGGTTGAGGTTGGTTCTGGCTGGTTGAACCAGCCTGAACCGCTATCATCTCGTTCCATGCGTTCCACGGATAAAAGATAAGCCCTTAAGGTGAATCCAGGGTTCGATTAGGGATAACTCAAGATTAGAGATAGTGCCACCAGTCATCATTAAGAATTTTACTTTCCTTCGTTGATCACTGAAATAATATTGTTCAAATTATAAGAAGCAGATCCACAAGATATGTATTATTTTTTGCTCGATTTTTTGAGCCAAAAATATTGGCTATTAGAATTGTAAGCACAGAGAAAGTTCGGTTGAAACTTTCAGCTCAGCGGCGGCGGCCGAACGTGCAACCGAATCCCTCATGTTCTGTTCCTCTCTCTCGCTCTCCCATTGCCACAATGGGAATTACTTTCCGCTATAGTTACAACTTTATTTTTGGGAAATTTTGAGAAGATTTTTTCACCGAGTTCCTCAAGTATGTTGATATATCCCCTGGATCCCCAATCTTGAATATGTATTGCGGTAGCAATACTAATCAAGTATTATTATTTAGCTAATATTTTTTATTATTTTAGCAAATATATACGGCTATTCTGAGCAGCGCTACGTGGAGGCCAAATCGCAAAGTTCGAAGCCTGGATTCACCTTAAGATATGCACTATCTCAAGACCAATCCACACAGGTCAGTCATTCCCGAAGACGAGTTTTGGTACTCTACTGCGCAGTGACGTACTATTGAGTGCTTGCAATGTGTTTCTTATGGGAGCACCCATTGTGACGTAGCATTGAGTGCTGTGAGTTAGGGCTGGGCGGGGGAGTGGATTTCAAAAAAGCTGCGCAATGACTGACATGTGTGGATTGGTCTTGCACTATCTTAACAATGTTGACATAAGCACAGGTACATGGTGTTCGATCAGAAAGGTCCACATATTTTTTCCTTTTATATTGACCTAAGGGGACGCCCAGTGAAAGCCTGGCTACAGGGGGTTTCAGAAGAACTGAGGGAGTGCCAACTCCCTGTAGGGCTTTGGGAGGACAGGGGACTTTGCTGCTGTGTGTCGTAGAGTGCTATAAAAACAGCTTGTGCGTGTATGTATTCTGACCAATCTTTGAGAGCGCTAATTTATCATTTGTTCATACCTGTCTTGTTCTAGCTGAAAACTGGAATGGCAGAAATTTTTGGGACTGAAATAGTTAAAGGTCGAAAGTATGTGTTCTCTACTGGAGCAAAAATAGCTGTTTTCACATGGCAAGGATGTACTATCATTTACACAGGAAGAAAAAACTCATGCTATACAGCAAAAGAAACTCCAATGGTAAGTGATTAAGATGTCTTCTTTGTTTTTTAAGAAACAGATTTGACAGATGCATTTGGTAAAGGCAGCTGAGAAAATCTCAAGGTTAGGTACACACTAAGTTACTCAATGTCCAACGATTTTTAAAATTTTATAGATTATCTTAGCATGTACTCAAAATCATAGTAACAACTATCAAAAAACAAGGAAACGTTGTCTAACCAAAAGATGACGGTACGCCCTTCAATACACTCTTAAGGTAATTAGAGGTGTCGTCAGATAAGTTGACCATTGTTTATTTTCGGTTTGCAAGCGTATTCAGGTCTTTACTGTCCACATGAAAACATCTGACTCTAGCAGAAGCAAGAACACAAGCTTAATTAAGGTTTTCAATACGTTCAAACCTTGTAACACTTTAATTTTTAGCCGTACAGAAATCACAACCACATAAAAGTCCGGATCATAACTGATAAGTAGTTTTTTTTATGATACGATCATGAGACGGATATTTTCAAGGTGAATAGTAGCAAACGTTGCTTTGTGCAGGGAACTAAATTTTTTGTCTAAGCTTGCAAACGGAAAGTAAACAATGGTCAACTTATCTGATGACACCTCTAGTGAAGAGACCTGTTACTTATATTCATATGACATACACATTGCTGGAGCAAAAAGTTTTTCTTCCAACTCATTGGATTACTCTAACACTACTCTCTTCTCTTCCGTTGATAACACCAGAGAATCAATTTTTTAAACTCACTGATTTTTTCAAGATAATTATCAAATTTTCTTGTCATAGATGTTTTATCTGAACTGTCACGCGTGTTTGGAACAACTGCGACAAAAAGCTGAGCAAGACAACACTCGCGGCCCTGTAACAATGATAGTTGGTCCTGTGGATGTTGGAAAATCAACTCTGTGCAGGATTCTCCTGAATTACGCAGTGCGCATGGGAGGCCAGGGACGAAGACCAATTTTTGTAGATTTGGATGTAGGACAAGGATCTATCTCTGTTCCGGGCACCATAGGTAAGTTCTAGAAAAAAGAAACCATATGAAGTTGATTCTTACTGCACATCTGTGCTTATAAACTGACAATATTCAATTACATAACTTTTTTCTGCCTGTACTTAAAGTCTCTCAAGGGTTACGTGAAGATACTTTTATTTGTCTCATTGACACCATTTATTTAATTAGTGTCTTATTTTCAGATCTTAGAATTCTAATTCATGAAGAAAAAGGGATCCTATTTATTCAATCAATAGTTAGAAAAATACAAAGCCATAAAATTGTGCAGTCTCACCTTCTCAATAGTTTTTAGGCTGCATCTAAATTTTATACCCACAGGAAAAGTTGATGCTTCAAAATTTCTATTTTTAATGAGCTACCAAAAGAATTTTTCTTGTTCCTAATATAGAGTAAAATGAACAACAAAATGAAACTGTTTCTTATATTTATGTTACCTACTGTCAAAGGTACACTCCATAAACCACCAATAGATAGCTGCCTGGCAAATTTGTAGAAATGAGCAAAGCTAACATTTATTATGAAACATAATGTTTTGTGCTAAATCTTAAGTAATTTCTGAGTTGAACCCAAGGATTTTACTTTTAAGTAAATGGATTTATTATAGTCCATTTCATGAAACCTGAGACTTTTTATTAGTCAATACAATTCATAAGTGGCAACACATCAGTCTCGCCCGTGATGACCAGACTGCTTACTGGATACCCTCTATTGTGCAGTGGAGAGAGGCCCGCAACTCGTTCATTGTCAGGGTAGAAACTAGTCCTTAAAAAGCTTTAGTATCCAAACCAAAATTTTTTTGCCATCGAAAAATTCATTTTTTAGCATGAACATTTAGTTCCAACTCGAAATTATGATAAAAACACACTAAAAGTCTATCCAAGTATCTTAATTTTGAGCTGATATACAGCATTTGCGCACAATAGCGATTTGCTGCAAAATGCCATGTACAAAAGATGAATTTTTCAATGGCAAAAAAATTTTGATTGGGGTACTAGAGCTCTTTAAGGGAGGATGAAGGGTGCCAATTGTTTCTACCCTGACAATGAACGGGTTGCAGGCTTCTCTCCGCTGCACAACAGAGGGTATCCAGCAAGCGGTCCGGTCATCGCAGACGAGACTGATGCATTGCCATCTACGGATTTTAATGCCGAATAAAAAGTCGCAGGTTTCGTGGAATAAACTACAGGAGTAGTCACCAAGTTTTGTCTAGGAAAGATAAAATGCTATATTCCAACAATTCAGAGATGAAGGCAGGACTTTAAAACTGCAGGATTTCTTAATGTAAGTATCAGCTTTTCATATCAGCCTTAAACCTTCACCGCTACTTATTTTTTAAAATCAGGTGCCTTGATGGTTGAACGACCAGCTTCTCCAACTGAAGGTTTTTCCGTTCAAGCACCTCTTGTTTATCAGTATGGTCATGTCTCGATGCAGAAGAACCCATCACTGTACAATATGCTAGTCTCTCGGTTAGCAGAAGTTGTTCAAGACAGGATGCAGGCAAATAAAAAAGGTAAATATGTACCTTTATTATACCTAAGAAATATTTTAATTCACTTTAAACCTTTTTATTGCATGTGGGTCAAAAGTTTCTTTTTCGTGGATGTTAAAGATGTAGAGAATTTTTTTAGAGCATAGTAACTTTGCTAAGTCATAGTTGGCTTTAACTTTCTGCATGATTGGAAAGCACATCTCTGCTTCCAAGTAATTAAACTGCCCTTTGAACATTTTTAGCAAACATGACAGAGACAGTATTGCCTTTGATGCTATTAAATGGAACACCTTGGGTGCAAAAAATCTTAAGGAATGAGTGCAGGAGAAATGTTTAGGTATCCAAAAAGGGGCAAAAATTTGAAGGCAAAAGGCTTTTTGTAAAGGAAATGGTACCTAAACACATAATTTGTTTACAAGAATTTTGCTAAGCGTTTTGTTTTTAGGGAAGGAGACTATGGAAGTTTTTTTGCCAAAGGAAATAGTGAAGCAGACATTCTATGTGGACTGCAATTAGAAGACAGCTGCAAAAAATGTGAAGGCAAAGAACTTTCTGCACCTCTGCAGACAACTGAATTGTTTTTCCCATGGCATAAAATTCCACAAAGCAGATCTTCAGTAAGAATTGGGAGATACCCTGTCCATTTTTTTCTATAAGTTATGATCTCAAAGCTCCACAAAACATATCTGAAATGTTTGATGATATGCCCATTCTATGATTATGTTTGCTCAAAGACACCTTTGTTGTCAACAACTAATTTTTTTTTTCCAGCAAATGTATCTGGTGTTATTATCAATACTTGTGGCTGGACCAAAGATAGTGGCTATAAAATCTTAACTCACATTGCTCAGGCTTTTGAAGTGGATGTCATTTTGGTTTTGGATCAAGAACGGTTGTTCAATGAACTTGTCAGGGACATGCCATCCTTTGTGAAAGTTGTTCTCTTACCCAAAAGCGGAGGAGTAAGTACTTCAATTTTTCCTAAAATAATTTTTTTCCACTCTCATATTTTCATCCGACAAGGTGAGGTCACTTGATGTTCCCTCTACATTTTGATTGGAATGTGGCGGATAGTCTCTCCACACAAGGATCTACTACTGGACTATGAGAGATGAAAATAATCACTGTTGAATTTTTTGATGATTTTTCGTAAAAAGTGAATATTTCATAACTGCTAAATAAAAATCAAAGAACAAATTTTACCGTCAGTATTCTAAAATTGAGAAAAATGCAATGAAGTGCCATTCCTCTATGAAGAGATCTATATGCAGCAGGCCTTCCTCATTTTTATTACTGTTGTGATATGCTCGTTATACACCATCCTGAAGGATATTAATGAGCTTCAGAAAATTATTTAGAAGAGCAGCAAATTCTGACATCCGCTGGTTTTAGACATAATGCTGTTTTTTATCCATATCTTAATAGAATATTATGCTAGAAGTCTGAACCGGCGTACCAGTGCTCGGCGCTCAGAACCGGCGTTTTTAAAGGTTTGCAGGTGTTACAAAATCGTTATCCTTGAAAATTGTGGATGTTGATATCAGCTGTTCATACAGATATGGCTTCATTTTTTGATTTATTCTCTCTTTCAAAGGAAAGAAACCGCAGTTCTATGAATGTGATTTTTCCTTCTTCAAGGTAGTTGAGCGACCAAAAAGTTATAGAATGGAGGCTCGAGATGGAAGAGTGAGGCAGTACTTCTATGGAACAACCTCTCTGCCTTTACACCCACATTCCTTTGATGTGAAATTCAGTGAACTGAAAATCTACAAAATCGGCGCACCTGCTCTGCCAGACTCTTGCATGCCAGTTGGAGTGAAGGCGGAGGATTATCTGACGAAAGTTGTGTCTGTTCAGCCCAGTAAGTTTAATGCTTCAGTCAATGCAATTTCACTCTTCACTTGGAACCAGTACTAGGAATATCTTGAGCAGGATAATGAATATCTACTTATACTCGACAATTACCCTTACTCCTGCCTCAGGATTAGTGATTCCTTGTAAAGTTCCTAAAGGACCCCGCACACCTCTCATGGGAAGCTGCACCTTGACCGATTGCCTTATGACTTATGTCATTCGATTCTCCTCAAGATGCTGATCAAAAGTTATAATTGCGCCAACTTTCTACGATGCACTGTTTTCCCAAAAAATTTAAGAGAAGATTCAATTATTCGGCGAATATGAATAAAAAAGAACAAAGCATTTGAGGACAGGCCTGATGTAAATAAGGAAGAAACGTAGCATATGTCCGTCTTCTTATCTGTACCTGCCGACTCAGGGGCTATTTCTCTCCCGCACTCGCCCGGTAGACGTTCAGACTTTCCTGCTCTTATGCTCCTCAAGAATCTGATTTGGATGGTCGAGCAAAACGGCGTGCGGAATTCGAGGTTAAGACTGCTGCTTGGTGCGGGAGTCCCCATGATTTTCCTTGTTGACACACAGCCTCTTGTCAATCGAGCACTGAAATGAGGAATCTTTCTGGCTTTTTATCACCAAATAATTGAACCTTCTCAGGGGTTTTTTTGCGAAAACGGTGAATTGTAGAAAGTTGGCGCAATTATAACTTTTGATCAGCTTCTTGAGGAGAATCGAATGACATAAGTCAGAAGGCAATCGGTCATGGTGCAGCTTCCCATAAGAGGTGTGCGGGGTCCTTTACTCAATTTTTTGTTTGTATCTTTGTCACTGAATATTCTTGAAATTTGGGATTTTTGCCCTACTGTGTTTGAAACATGTTATATCATTTGTTTACTGTTTGCATCTATTTGGGAGATTGGTTTTTTTTTTTTTTTTTATTGAGTCTATCAAAATGTCAGTAAGCGCAGTTTTAGCGTCATGTAGTAGCTTTTTCTGTATAGAGAGAATTTAGATGAGCAAGGCCTGTGTTTTATTGTGACCATTGATAGGCAAAGTTTTACTACTCAACAGTCGATTTCTAGAAGGGCAGTTTTTGTCATGTTAAGTCAAAAATCAAATTCGATGCAAAATATCTGGCAGTATTTGAAAGAACAAGTTGTTAGTCGCTCAGCTCAACGCATTGTCAATCAAAGTTCCTAAAGTTGAATCATAGCGTAATAATTTTAAACCCCTAATAAGACTGATGGAAACTTTGATGAACTTATTTTTTTCCATGACTGTTTTCTTTGAACTCAACCATGAATAACGAACCTTCATAGAGGTGTCGTCAGCTAAGTTGACGGTTGTTTACTTTTGGTTTGCAAGCGCCAATGACAAATTTGGGCCTCTGAACAAAGCGGCGTTTGCTACTATCCACTTTGAAAACATCAGTCTCATGATCGTGTCGAAAAAAAACTACTTATCAGTTATGATAGATTTGCGACTTTTTTGTGGTTGTGATTTCTGTGTGGCTTTAAATTAAAGTGTTGTTACAAGGTTTGAAAGTATTAAAAAACTTATCTAAGCTTGTGTTCTTGCTTCTGAGAGAGCCAGATGTTTTCATGTGGATAGTAGTGACGCGAAAACGCCTGCAAACCGAAAGTAAACAACCGTCAACTTAGCTGACGACACCTCGAATATGACCTCATTCCACAGTAAGCAAGCCCTATTTCTGGCTTATCCATAGGACCATCTATTTGCATGAGTGAATCACTGGCACACCTATTGTTTCTGTATTGGGTTAGAAATAGTGCCTCTTTATTGTAAAATAAAGTCATGCTATTCTTCATTATGTATTTATTTTTGACTGAGGCTCAGTAAGTTTAAGCCTAGGTTTAGCCAACGTAGATATCAACTGATTTTTATCAAGGAAGTGAACAAATTAAACTCCCTAATTTTTTAAAGTTCTCAGGGGAGGTTTTTCTGATTCAAGGAGTCGTCTTAAAAGTTGAAGTGAAAATTCTGAAGTGCAACCTAAGCATGCAACATGAAATGCCGTATAAATGGGTAAATCACCTACACTTTCCTCTGAAAATGATCATTTACAGCTAACGGGGGCAGATAGGGCAAAAGCAACAAAAGTTTACTCTTTTGCCCAGGGTAGCTCTGGATCTTTTAGCAGAGACGTCCTCCTAAGAAGAATGCATTGTGACGTCCAGTTTTTTGCATCCTTTACTCTAATTCTAGTAAAAACTGTTTACTGTCTTCGGTTGTAAGTTAATATTCTGGAATAAAACGAAAATAGAGGGCTAGTTTGGAACGTGACTAACAATTTTCTTCTCTTTCAGGTCCTAGTCTATTGAACCATTTGTTGGCCATCAGTTTTGCAACTTCCGCAGAAGAAGATGTCATTCAAACCAATGTTGCTGGTTTTGTTTGCATGTACGTATTTTGGATTTCGTTATGTTTCGCACTGTAAACAGAACCTTTTTAGAACTTTTTTGCCCTGTCAAAGAAGAGTATATCGACGGTGAAACTACCAAACCACGTATCTCGTTTGCGGTGTTTAAAAATCTACGCTCGCATTTTATTTTTTGAAGTAGACCAAATCAATATCATTCCTTGAAATTTTCATAGAATTTTCTTTGCACGAAGAGGAAAAATCACAGAAATTTTCAAGACTGGACGTTAAGTAGTTTTTCATTTAAAAAATAAAGTATGACAGGAAGTCTGCGACGTCGCAAACCGAGATACGTGGTTTGGTAGTTTCACCGTCGATATGTATGTAGGGGAAAAGTAGACTTTTACCATGTGTTGTTTTATTTTTTTTTCTTACTTTATGCATTTGAAATATAAATGTGTGAAAAAGGAGAATAAACATGTGGTTGACGCATGAGACGCCACATTATCAAGCCAAAGTTAAAACTGATTTCCTCTGATAGCCTATTTTTCACTTTTTTCCAATTTTTTGCTGAATTCAACTCTATATATTTAGATAAGATGGCTTGTCTTCAAATTAAATAGTTTAAGTAATAATTGTAACCATTGATTTCTGGCTTGTCCCTTGAGAGTAAACAATCTTTATCTTTCTTAATTTTCAGAACAAATGTTGATATGGACCGGCAAACTATGACTATTTTATCACCACAACCAAAACCTCTTCCTGATGCTGTCTTCCTGGTCTCTGAAGTTCAGTTCATGGACAGCCACTGAGGATTGTTTCCAACCATCATCGTTGTATGTGATAAAAATCAATTATCAAACGCTAAAGTTCCTCCGAAGACTAGAGTCTACAGCGTCAGCTGTTTCAATTACCATCTTGCTGAAGGGATGCTCCCATTAGTAACCTATTTTCTGAAATTGGATATAAAATTTCGTCACAGGTGTTATGGGACGAATATGTTTTGATGAGCATACATGTTATATGACTAGAGAGGTGTCATAGGAATACTAAAGTGCAAAATCATCGCAAGTTCGGTCTGAAATCATCTTAGAATAAAGTTTTCTTTGTCACATTTTTAGCAGAAAAAGGAATTCTCTAATATCAATCATCCATTCTCCCTAACTTTTGAAATGCAACTGTCACCTTCAAAAAATGCAAAAATTGATAGTTTAAACACCATGATCATTCCATAGTCCCTTATGAATATCAATGGGTGTAGAAGCCTCTATGACCAAAGATTCTATCATCTATCATTTTTTTTTGGAAATGTGACAGAAAATTGGATGCCATAATCTTAGGATGATTTTCAACTGAAGTATTCTGCGAAAGCATTTGTCAGTATACCCTAGGTTAACTTTAAAATCTTTGAGCTGCAATCAAATTGAATAAATATACCTATCAAGAAATGTTGCATATTGATGATAAAACTCCCAAATGACGTATCTTGTTTGTGGTGTTCAAAAATCTCCGCTTCTGTTTTATTTTTTCAAAGGAAAACACATCAACATCATTCCTTGAAGTTTTCTCAGAATATGCTATGTATAGAGAAAAAAAATTACAGAAGTTTTTAACAATTGATTTTGAACAGTTCTCCGTTTAAGTAAGGCAGGATGTCTGCAACGTCGCAAACGGAGGTACAAGATGTTTGGGAATTTCACCAACAACATTTGAATCTTTGCAGTGTTTAAAAGTAACACCGGCAAAATGTTTTTTCAACCTGTCAGCAAAACATCTGGATATTTGGCAATGCGTTTTGGCATTTCAATACATAAGGTATGAGTTTGGCATTCTATAATTAAAAAGTTATCAAAGTCACTCATTGATCGAAAGTGTTCTTCTTTGAGGATCATTTTCAATTCCCCCCAACTTTCCCTTGTTTTCTTCAAGTTATGAGCTTGAAGTCGTAATTCTTCAGCCACTCTTGTGAAAGCTCTTATCAGCCGTTTTTTGTTGTTTTCTGACCAAGTGTATTTTGTATCCTGTGAATCTCAAAATTCATCATTGTCAGGCGAACGTTTCAAATGATGTAAATTTCAAATTTTACTGATACCTTTTGTACTGGTAGTTAGCCTTTTTTACATGTGGATCACATCTAGCAAAAAGGAATCAGCGCGATTACAGTGTTGTAAAAATGTTGCTTCTTCATACTCATCTAAAAAATTTCCAAGAATAGCAAATCGTTTTTGCTTCCCACTAAATTATTGTTAATTGTCAAGGAAAATAATTGTGTAAATTATAACTTTGTATATGTATTGAGATTTTTTGAAGAAAAATAGATGAGTTGCACAATTTTAACGATTTTGAAAACACTGTAATCACGATGGTCCCATTTTGCCAAATACGATCCATGTATTCTTACTTGTCTATTCCTCATTTAAAAAAGAAATAAAATATCAGTGATATTCTAAAAAGATGTGTGTGTCTCAAATTGAACGTAATTTTCTTCTCAATGGATCATCAATTAGCATGTAACAATTTCCTAAACATTATCAATTTTATTAAAAATAATTACAGTGAGTTCCAATCTATTCAAAAGATTTTTGTTTTTAATTAAATGCAAAAGACAGGAAAAATTTGCCAGGTTGTAAATAGAGGTATCTACATGTTTCCTCAGTTTCATCGGCAAAAAACCTTCCTTAACATTTTGCTACCATAAACAGGTAATTTTTTATTTTATTTGCATTGTGTTGACAAAATGTACCAAATTATTTTTCAATGACTGTTTTTTAATAAATAATTTTGTACCATTGCGACAGTTTTGGAAGACCTCTTTACTTCATATCATGTATGAGATGCATTCAAGAAGTGTACAAAGGCTATCGTAGAAAAACTGAGACTTAGCCTGCTCTGAACAATTTATTGAAGTTATTGGAAGTTTGCAGGTTCATGTAGCTTATTTCATCAACTTTCTAAAGTGAGAGCCCTTGTTGAGCTTATTCTGTGAATAATTCGCATTTCCATAGCAATTTTTTGGCGACAAGCAAAAAAAAAACTCTAGAATTTTCCAGTCATTTTTCATTCTTCAACTTTTGCCTGTAAGGACACAGTTACTTTGGAAATGAAAGTTGCAACTTTTTAGATGCAAGATATGACTGACCTGCCAAAAATCTTACAAAAAATAAATTTTCTTCCTCTGAAATAAGAACTCAGGAAATTCAAAATTGTAAAAAATTTGACGACATAGCCGGATTTTCCAAGCTCATAGATGCTAACAAGTCGACTTTTTGAGTAAGCACTCTTCAAAATCTTCAGGCCACTTTAAAATGGTGCTTTTAGAATTTTTTAAATTTATTTTATCCACCAGGAACTATCACCTGTCTCAACATTTTAGAGGCATGTACTTATTTCATGTCAAATGAGGGTGTTGGTATAACAGCGATGCCTACCATTGTTTGAATTTATCAGGAAAACTCTTCGGAGAAAATGCTCATTCACCAACATGTCCCGATGCAGAAGGCAATCTTAGACATGCTGATTTTTTTAATATCAGAAACTTAGATATTTTAATGAGAACATTGGCAGATCAGTCGTATTTTGCATTTGAAAGGTTACAAACTTCATTTCCAGTGTTACTACGTCCTCAAAGAGTGGATTTGAACAGTGAAACATGACTGTTGAGGAGGGGGCTTTTACTTTACCAAGGAATACGCAGTTGAGAAAGCGTGAATTTTTCATCAAATGAACAAGGGCTTGTTAAAAAGCTTATGAAATAAGCTACCTATTCTTCTGCACCACATTACAGTATTTGAAATGGCGTTAGCTTTATTATTCTATGATTTGAAATAAATGTAGTTTTTTTACAGCAGGCCAACTTTCATTTTTTTTGGGTCAGCCTTTGTATAATTCGATCTTTCCCTCTTCTGGCTTCCTCTGCCTATTACAAAGAAGCCAAGGCAACAGATGGCTCCCTTTGAATTAGAAAAATCCAAACTAATAATAACGAATAAAATACTGAAATAGGGGACGAAATCGATTTAAAATGCAGTTTTTTCAGTTAATTATGTTGAGTTTAATTCACTTCATGCCATGAATCAATTGAACACCAGTCTTTACTGTCCAAGTAAAGTTGCGCAGGAGGTTGGAGAGGATTCCGCCTTTTTTTATAAAGGTCTAGAGTCCGCTTCAGATAACTTTACCTTTTTCATTGCCATGCGGTGCGAAGTGTGGAATTGTGCATTCAGCGAAAAATGGTAAAAGTCATCTGAAATGGTCTCCAACAAACCTTTAGAACGCTCCTGTAAATATTCAGAAGTTTGATGATTTAATTCCTAGAAATTTCCCGAATAGGAACAACAGTCATGCCTTTAATGAAACCTTATTTTTTTAAAAAATAGAAACGATTAATACATCGCTGATAACTTGAATATTCCTTTGTACTTGTGAAGCCATGTATAAACAGCGGATATGGAACATCCGCCATTTTTAGGTATAACGCGTTTTTAGAATCCGCAAGCCTTCAAGAGTATTGGTTCCAAGTCATAGACTTCTGCCATAATTTTTCATCAAGATTTAAGTAAGAAAAATGTATGTTGGAGATTTTTGCCAATGTGCGTTAAAAATTCAGCATAAAGCTGAAAAATCTCAATATGGATGGAAAAAGCTCGTCCGAGCACAGTTTTCCCTCAAAGAGATATGCTGTTTGGAGCAACACTAGTTACGTCCATTCAGGAAGGCAACTGCAGACGCGTTTTGGCCTTGTTGGGTCAATCCTCAGTGCAGTGCAGTTTGTGTAAAAAAAAAGCGTTATATCTAAGAACAGTGAATGTCAGAATTCCCTGTTTATCGACTAAACAATTTACTGAAGCTCATTAATGTCTTTACAAATCATGTACCCATTATAAGAGCACAATTCAATAGTAATAAAAGTGAAGAAGCGACCTTATTTGCATGTAGTTATTTGGGAAATGGCACCCTTTTAAATTTTTTTTCCATATCAGAGGACTAATAATATAAGTTGTTCTTCAATTTTTATTTTGAAGTAACCAACTATTTACCCTTTTCGAAAGATCATTAAAAAACTCAGGAGTAATCAGAATTTGATTAATATCAATTGCTCTAACTCTCATACAATAATTTATTCTCTAAGAAGTTTCCCTAAAAAAATTCTCCGTAAAAACAGTGAATGTGGTATTTTTTTAAAATCACTGTATCTCGTTGACATTTGCTTTAAATTTTAATTTCTGAACCTATTTAGAGGAGGATTTGCTCAATAAAAAATTCCTTGACCGAACCTTATTTGCTGCATGGACATCAAAATATACAGCTTTGAAAACTTTGAACACGATATTCTCAAAACTTAGAGACTTGACATCCGCCATTTATACATGATTCATATGCCCACGTGAAAGACTCAATTTTTTTGGACGAAGTAACTGGGGAAAAATTTTGATTAATTAATTAGTTGCTAAATTATGTGGATGCGCCGTAAAAATAGAAAAAATTGTTTGTTGCCATTTAATTTTATCATTCTCTGCAGATTAAGCAAGTCGAATTTTTTCGGTGTAAAGAAACGTCAATTTTTCCACTCGCGCTGTGCGAAATGCGAAGGCCAGTGAGCCGTATGACCGGCAAATCATAATTCCCGCCATCCAGATAGGTACGAACTGATTGGCTATTTATATTTTGGTGCTTTTTTTGGCGGGTAAGCACCAAGTAAACACGGTTTTAGTTTTTTGAGGTTATGTATGTATGAAGTGAAGTTATTATGGAAATAAAAATTGTTATCACAGGAAGAAGCAACCTCGTCTTTTGACTTTACTTTTCCTCTTTAAAAATTGTTTGACAACCAATTCTCTCCTTCCTTTTAAGTAAGTTTTTCATTATTCTATCACAAATAGTGATAATGTGCCTCTATATCAAGTATAATTTGAAATCTTGTATGTACATTGTTTCGTTTAAAAGTGACCATACACCACTACATCCCGGTCTCCTGAAAGCAAATCAACTTCAATTTTAACTAAATTTTCAGAACCAATTTGTTGAAATGCTCCTTGAAGCTCCACCATTTGAATAATATTTATTAACTATTGTTTTCAGCCAAATTATCAGTGACAAGCACAAGTGATGGCAATTTGTCAGTCGATTATGAATTCGCTCAGTTGCTTGACACAGTGGTTCTACTTTCACGCACCTGGGTATTGGTCATGTCAGTGAAGCTAACTGATCACTGTCTTTGATAAGTGGATATGATCTCAGGTAGCATTAAGCTCTGTTTATTGAATATTTTTCATTGAAGTTGCTCTTCAAAAGTTAGCATCTCAAATACTATCTCTGCAGACGGCTTGTATATAATTTTCAGGGATGAATTCTGGAACTTTTCTACAGTTTCATAACTTACTTAATAATGATTTAATACTGTGCTGATGAAAAAAAATTCTTTCAATTACACTCAACCCATTAATGATATTGAATTGAAGTATTGGTAAGTATTGGTTCGTGCTGTCATCTCTGTTTGTCACGGTTTGTAAGCATGTCAAAAATGTCTCACCCTTGACTGCTTTTACATTTAAGCGGTGGAGCCTTGTGGGATCATTATCCTGCAATCCAGTAATTTCCTGGACCCTGGTTCATCTAGGTTCATCTAATTTGATTTGTTCTTATGTCATGTTCCAGTTGCCATTCAGTTCAGTTGCTACGTTTGATATATTATGGCATCAGAAGAAGCAATTACTCAAGCATTTGATGAAGCCATTGACTGGGTTTTTAAATCTTCAGATTTGGTTTCAGAATATTTTGAAGGTACGTTCATCAGTGCCTCTAGTTGGAGTCTTAAAACACTAGATCAATGACTATTTTTCCACAATTTTGTGCATGAGAGGTTCCATGGCATGCCTCGACTGGTTGTCAGTTAAGGAGGTTACTTATTATCCTAAAAATATTTCCAGAACACACTGAGTGTTCCAAAAGTTGGCTGCAGTTGAATTGAAATCCATCCGAATATCATCACTAGAATATCAAATCATAGGTGTAGTCTGTCTCTGCCGATCAACCCTACTCTTAAAGCCAACCACCTTACAAAGTGTGCATCCTCCTTTGCCAAAAATAGTAAATATTTATATAATCACTTCAAAATCTCTGTGTCAATGGCGACAGCTATAGAACACCAGAACTTCATGTACATAAATTCAATGCTTGAAATGGTCGTAAAAATACCTTCTAATTCCCCCATTGAAAAGATGGTGGCTTTTTTAGTTTTGGCGACTTTCTCAATGACATGGAATGGCATCATTGATGGGGAAAAGAAAGGAAACAATGAATATGTAATCAGGGGAGTGAGAATTTAGTGGATGGGGGAGAGTAGGGATGTCGATACTCAGGGAAGTATCGATACTGGTATCGACTCTAAGCATCGATACCGGTATCGAGCATTGAGCTGAAGTATCGATACTTTTGAGGTATCGATACCATCAATACTATTTCTGATTTATGCCGTAATTCGGAGTGTGCGTATGTCTGTTGGCCGTCAGATTTACGCCTTTCTTGAAGTCGAAACCGCCCTTATTCGCGTGCTTAGTCAACTATTATGAGCCCTTTACAACTGTTATCGAACCGACCTTTTAACATTTTTAATGAAAGTAATCATCTTGAGAAACCTGTCTGTAAAGGTACGTACTCTAGAGAAACCTGATTACTCTGTCGTTTGTCACAGTGCAGAGTGAAGGTGAAATAGAAGAGAATGAAGGCCTCTTTTTATTTTTTAACAACTTCACGCTTGTTAAAAAAGAAAAAGAGGCCTTCTACATGACCAAATTAGATTAAGTATCGATACCATTGATATTGGGGTCTGAGGATCGATACCACATGGTATCGATATCGTTAAGTATCGATGCCAAGTATCGATGGGTATCGATCAAAAATATCGATACTTTGGAAGTATCGGTTAAGTATCGACATCCCTAGGTGAGAGGGCTCATGACTTGTGACAATCCACAAACATGATGCGGGTTACGAGTGTATAAATAGCCATCATCTTCATGTTTTTGTTCTATGATGTTTTCCACTATTTTTAAAGCTTTACTTATCCGAGTGTTTTGTCTTATGTTCCTACATAGGAGATGAAAAAAATCAGATTCTTTCTGAGCTGGGAAAAACGGTGGAAGAACTTTGTGCCACAGATAAGCAATTCAAAGTCAGTTGTAAATGTCTTTCCAAACTGGAAGAAACCGAGGGTCATTGTACATATAATGAGCTGAAAACAGTGAGGATTTTTTTCTTGTTTTTTATTTATGAAATCTAATCCTTGAGTGCAAAGAAAATTACATATATTTAAGCTGCTAACTTGTGGCGTAGATACCTACAAGGCCTAGGTGTAAAGCTCAGTGAACCGGATCTTTAATATCAGTACCTAATCTTGATTTGGAACTTCTGTAACAGAAAGGAATAGATTTTATCAACGAGATACTGCGTCAAAAATCAATGTGCCTTAAATGATAGAAGTCATACAACACTACTAAAAAAAATTGAAACAGTCGTCATTAGAGTAACTTAGCATAAAAATGGACAGGTAAGTAGTTGCCTGTCAATCTCAAATGGAGAAGTGAATCATCCAATCCCAGATTTTGAAAACGGACTATCCAAATAAAGCCCGATTAGACTGGGCCTGGGTGTTTATTAACAGCCTCGCAGTTCCAAGCATTGCGTAAACAGCACCTGCAATTTACTCAACTTCGGCCGTTTACAAGTTTTGTTGTTGTATGGGGGCTTTTGTGTCTTATCAGTTGCATCATCAAAGCAACACCAGGTCTATTGAGGACCACAGGTAAATGTGCTCAGAATGAAAGCTGCCCACCTTGAAACCTACAAATCCTGTTCATACTCCTGAAGATCATGTAAATTCGGTGATTTTGATTTCCATTAATTCATTTTCTTCCTGCTTTCCTCAGGCATTGAAAGAATCACTTGAGAAAAATAGAGAAAAAGGAAAACTAGACTTCAAGAAACATGAACGACACGTAGAATGGAAGGAAAAACTGAATGCAGCCATAACAGAGAGTGCTGGTAAGTTTCAGAAGCAGTTCAATACCACCTCATGTGAAAAAGTCGTTCCGGAATGACTAACTAATATTTCAGAGTATCGAAGAAAAACTGAGTAGTTATTTTTGCATTGTTTTCTGTCTGATTGGACCCTACAGCTCCCTATAGCTTTGGTATTCACTGCAATCGGGCGTATTTCTATCAAAGGGAACCAAGCACCACATTTTCAATTTCTAGATTTTGACGGATTTGGGTTCTTCATCACCTGAGCTACTCAGAGGTATGGTTATGTCCCGAAAAAATTCATTGCTTCCTGTAGGAACAGCGTATGAAAAATCATAAAACTGGGAATGGGACACAACGATTTAAAGCAGACAGAACTATGTGTGGTTTCGCTTGATTTAAAGCGCTAGCCGGGGATACTGCGTTCTGTCAAACAGAACTATGTGCAGTCAATCGACGCCCACGCAGCAAAGGCGCGGAGCTCTGGGGAAACAGCGAATGTGAGCCAGCGACGATCAAGTTGAAACTTGTCTACGGCTCAGATGAACTGTCAACACCGCCCGAACAAAACTGAGCGAATCAGTTGCGCCGAGAGTAGCCGGAAGCAGTTGGAGATTGCCAAGTGCACATAGTTTTGTTTGACAGAATGCGCTTCCGTGGATTTTTAATTTAGCAAACAGAACTATGTGCATTTTGACCCAGATCTCGCTTAATATGAATTACACAGAAGTTTTGGCATTAGATATTATCAGAAGAACGTCTCAGCTCCCAAACAAGCCATAAAAATCGAAAATCGGTTCATTAATACAGAAACACCAATGGTTTTTGCAAACCTTGTTCTACTGAAATGTTTCAAAATTGCACAAAGTTCTGTTTGATAGAAATGCGTCCAATTTATTGAATTTCTTCTCAAGTTGTACAATTTGACTCCATTCTATTGTTCCTATTTTTTCTCCTATTCTATTCCTCCATATTTGTACTCTTATTATTTCTAAGTCCTTTTCAACACTTTTTGACCATCTCAATTGGACTACTTTTTGCTATTAGGAACTACAAATTTTGGTTCAATTTAATAACAACGTATGTACAATTAGTTTTCCTGTAAACGTAACTGTTATCAGAGATGAGCCAGAAATTGTAGTTTCGAATTGAAAAATGTAGTCTAACTGTAGTCATCTTCTCTTCTTTGGTACTGGAATTCTATCCAGCACTTTCTTCGGCACTCTGCTGTCCTCAGTTTTTTTACATGATCAAATTATTAGATTCTTTGGACTTTTATGAATCTGATATCTTCATCTTCAAGAGTTGGATCAATTTTCACATTATTTCTTATCCTCTGTTCCCCATTCCCACTGATTCCTCTCCAAATGCCCAAAGTGAAAGGTGAATCACAAAGCATTAAATTCTCTTTTATTCGTTTGAATGCACCTATTGTTGAGAGCAAAACAAACGTTACCAACTTGTAGGAAAAACGGTGTTTTTCGCATTCTTGATAAGCTCAAAAGAGGCTCTGTAAGTGGATGGTAGTATTGTCTAATACCAGGATGCTAGACACAAGATGCTAAACCTTAGGAATTAGGAATTACAATGTGAACTTAAGAGTCGCAAGGCAGTTTTGTTTTTTCAAACTAGGGGGTGATGTTTCATCAAAATCCACTTGTTTTTGAGCCCCTGAAAATCTTGATAGCTTTTACAAACTTATGGTGTCGGAACTGCAAACTTCAAACCAACATAATTCCAGTTTGGTCAGAAATCTGACTTTTTTTTTTGCAAAAAACTTATCCATGCAGTGGTACCAATAACTTTTTTAGTTTTTCGCTGTAAGAGTCCTTCTCCCATGGATGATTACATTTAAATGTTTTAATAGATAACCTCTCTTTAAAGAGCTAAGAGACTTCAACAAATGTAACAAAATACATGTAGTACTCTCTAGATAGGATTCGTTTTTGAGTTGCTCCTCTAATAATGTGCAAGAATTAAAATAGGTATATATATATCCTTACGACTGTTTGTTTTCATCAAATGTAATTTTTTTCAGAGGATGAAGACTTGGTTTGTACGGAAGCAGATATCAACATCATTGATCCTTACACCAAGGCGCTCATACAAAATCCTATCAAAAACAAATTATGTGGACACCATTATGAAAAAACTAGCATATTGTCTCTACTTCAAGTCCAAAAAAAAGCCATAGTGTAAGTTTATCCTAATGCTTCCCAAATTTATTGACTGTGATTTTCAGTATGCCCAGTGCCTAAAGAGAGGTATCTCTTTTTCAAGTGTAAAATGTGTGAAATGCATTTTACCAGAAGAATAATTGAATGGTGAAAATAACGACTCTTTCAAACAACTTAAATAACTCAAAAATTGGACTGGTTTTGGTTTTTTATACAGTGAGATCTTAAACAGTTGGATGATGTATGATTCAAAAATTCAAATGAGCCAGATTTTTTCGCTGGTCCCATCACTATCCACATGTAGGCAATATAATTGGTTTTGGGAAGTCCCAGTTTTTGTATGAATATGTAATTTTTTTTATCTCGGACACGTCTTTCTGTCATATCATCAACTTTTTTCGCGTTGAGTCAAACGAAAATGTGAAGTTGCCAACACGAGAGCATGTTGTACAGGCAGTCAGAAAAAGGAGGGAAAGTAGCGCATCACTTATCTGCAACACTGGCCACTCGTTGTGCAGTTACATCCTTCCTCAATTTTGTGATGTCTATGTTGCAGTTCCTGTAATTTCGACTGTTCTTTTTATTTTGTTTAAAAAAATCTCTAACTTCGTTTGGGCCACTATGAGTTGAATTTTAGGTAGTACACTGTGCAGTGATTAAAGCCAGGGTGAGTTGCGAGAATAGTGTCCATGTTCATAGAATGATGTGAATAAAATTAACTTGAAATAATATCATTTGCACTGTGTAATACATTTTTGCATGGTAGTGGTATTATCCAGAGTTGATTTCACTTGCACCCTATCTTGATTCCGCACACTCTGGCCTCACATTTCACAACAAAATTTCAAACCATGTACAGCATAGTCAATGTTGCTCTTTGCGAACACTTAGTACAGAGTCAACTACTTGTTTATCTATTTACTATTCATTGAACAATGATTAAGACTTTCAATTATTCATTACAATCTGTACTCAGTCTAATATCTATCACATTTACTTTTTTCTCATTTTCCAGGTGCCCTTATTCTGGATGTAGGTCGCGGAAGTTCACAGAAGTTGATCTCATTGAAGATCGGCAGTTGACAAGAAAAGTCCAACAGAAGGTCCAACAAAAGTCATCTCAAGCTGCAACTTCCTCAAATGTATCTGCTCTGAACATAACAGAATAGTTCTCAGTTTTTATTCTCTTATCCACACTCTCTCATGGACACATTTGTACATGAAATTAATATTGTTTTTTCATTTTACACTTCATTTCTTTTCTGTAGTTTTATACATCTAAAAAAGAGAGTAGAAATAAATTTTTTGCAAGACTGGAGAATCTGAAAAAACAGTCGGGCCCTGCTATAAGTATTTTCTTACAAATCCGATCTAGAGATTCAGGAATTTTTGTCAGATTAAAACTGATTTTCATAATTTTGTTTGAGCTGCTTTTTTCTCCTCTAGTTCGACCTTTAGGATAAAATATGATGATGCGCACACTGAAAAAAAATGACTCTGCATAGAGAACTAAGGAATTTGGCAGAGTGTAAATTTTGTTCTTGTTAGATAAAATGTTTATATGACCTCCTGATGACGATGAGTTTTTAAAATGAACCTTTCTTCGTGAAAAAGTTGAGAAAAGCAGGACTGAGGAGAGAATATTTTAGCATTTGTACACATATTATCTGGTAGAAATGTTGCCTATGGAGGAGTGTCCCTCTTTTCTTGCCTCAGGCTGGCCCGGATGATAAGACAGACGCTACTCAACCTCATGTCAAAACAGTAGGATATTAGCAGAACAATATATACAACACCGAGGCAGTGCATATTTTTCCCAAGAAAATGTGTAAAGGAATTCCGAAAAATTCACTTTCCAGCCTCTTTTTTTTCGAAATTAAGAAGAAGAAAGTTCTGTTTAAATAGTGCATTGTGTTAAGGAGATTGTGAAGGATATCGCATCGAATAATAACAGAATTTAGCCGGCATGGAATTCTTCCATTCTCCATGTACAGTCCTTTGTTGAATTAGTATTGGGATTGTTAAAAATTTGTGAGCAACAACTCTGATTATTATTAAGTGTATCACTTATTCATTATGCAGTTGCTTTCGGAGGAGAGTAACCTAAGAGTTGCTTGCCTCAATATTTTAAAGGAAACCTTTTTGTCAGTCAACAATGGCAGGTACAATTTTACATTCACATTTGGTAATTCTTACGAATACCTCACTACAAAAACTGAGATCTGGATTCTAAAAACTGTTCCGTGTAACTTAATACAGGTAACTAAAGTTAAGTCAAAATTTGATGGAGAATGAAAAGTCTCAAGGAGTAAAACGAGTACGGACATCGAGTTTAATTTTAAACCTTACAAAGTGTAATAGAGCTTCTAAAAATTAATGAATTATGCTGCAGAATTAACTGCACCATCTTAAGAAATACATCTGCTCTGACAAGAAGTCGCACTTAAAGTGAGCCTAGGGAGGAAGAGACAAAAGAGTATTTTTAGAATTTTCATCGAATGAATAAAGAAAAAAACTATGAGGTCATAGATAAAACTTATTTTTATGTACGGAATGTTCTTGCCTTACATGTATATAGTTTACATGACAGTGCTGAGCTGAGCCATGGGTATAAATCCGCACTAGTGTGCTGAGCAGAATGCCTGACAAGAAGGACGTATCAGGTAGCAGTAAACAGAGAGGGCATACGTGGTTGTTCTCTCCTAAAAGTATGGGCGTTCTTGTGACACTTTGTCTACCCTACACCTTCTCAGCGCAGCAGAATCGTATAAATGCTCTTTGATATGAAAAAATAATAACATAATGTAAAAATACTGATGCAGTTAACAGTAACACAAAAAAATACAGGTATGAAAAGATTTAGCTTACATTGCTGGGAAGTGAGTGGGCATAGGTTTAAAAAACCAAAATATGTTTTAGCCAGTAGCTCGGTTGATGTCAGATCTCTCAAACAAAATACTAAAATTAAGTTCATGCAAGAGAAGTAATGTTGCAACTATTTAAAGAGCTCCCAAGACAGCTCTGAAACTATGGCAGAGAATTTTAAATTTTTACTCAGACGAATTATTTTGCTAACCATTGCAGTCTCTTAGTCTGCCTTTTAAAAATTAACCTCTGTGCAGATGAACACCCAATTCAAGTTCAATCGATTGAAAATGAGGGATATTGTAAAGAGAAAGTGGATTTTCATCTGTTGATAATATTAACAATGAATAATAAAGCATATGGTCAAGCGGTTTTTAAAAACTCTGAAGTTTCTTTTCCTTTCGCAACATGAGTTGCAACATTTCTTACTCGCTTGCTGAGGATGATGGGCATTAGCCTATCAAAACACAAGTGTGGACATTTATAACAACAGGTAAAGAAATTTAAAAGTTATTAAAAATCTCTCCAAGTGACTAAGTTATTAGTTTTAACAATGTTCCTTGTTTGTAAAATAATCCTCTTTCAAATTACATTAATAATAAAAATACAGTAAGACCTCGAATTATCGGATCGTGAATTATCGGATCGCGAATTATTGGATTGCCATTTAATGGGTTTTGCGATTTGATGGGTTTTGCGATTTAATGGATCTCTCTTCAGCGGAACCCACTGGCGCAGTTTAATGGATTCAGCCTCCAGTCCTGTAAAATCCGATAAATTGAGGTCTTACTGTAAAATCAAAGGGTACAAAATTTTAGATTCTTACAGCTCAAAAAAGGAGCAGAGGAAAAATGAAGGTTGTCCACTATCATCCCAAAAGTGAAGGGAGACTTATCATTTCGAAGAGATAATTTTTGCTTAGAGACTAAACACTCATCCTATCATCTTGTTACATACCATGATAATTTCTAAACAATGTGCCTAGCACAATTTGCGAACAGTAGCTTGCTTGACATTGAGACCCTAGCTTGACAGGAAAAAAATTTTTAAACCTTGACACATTGCTCACCAAGAAGGTAATTTCAGAGCTAGAGTAATGGAGCTCTAAATGTAGAAGTTTCCACCTGTAATTAAGAAGCTAGTGGACACTCTCTGTCTTTTATTGGAAGACAATCATTGGTTGATTTTACAGAATTTATTGGCATAGTTCTTAAATCGTTAAAATAAGTGATTCTACGTTGGTTATTTACTAGTTTCTAATTTTTGATCGAGCCCAGTGCAATTTGTTGAAAAGAAAAGGATATTTTGTACTTGAAAAAAAAAAAAACAAAAAAAAAAACAACTAAAATATTAGGGTGCTGGAAGTACATAACTGAATTTCTTAATCTTAAAAAATCTAACTGCTGGAAAAAAAATCTTTAGCAACACTACCTGCTACTTACATACAACATAATAGCACAATGTAATAGAATAAATACTTAAAACTTGGTGCACTTTTTTTACTAACTTGATTTTTTACAAATTGTTTTAATGAATCATCCACATTGATTCTCTAACTAATTTCTCTTAACAAAAGTTGATTGTTGGACTAGGGATATTTAAATGAAAAGCTTGCTTAGGTGCCACTTAAATACATGCTCCAGAAAAGAATGGTGTTACAATTTTGGTCTTTAAAGCTGCTGTCATCGATAAAAAAAAAATTTAGGGGTTTTCTTCGTACACATATTAGATTCCTATTTATAAGATGATATATAAAAAAAGTAAGTGACTTTAGATAAAGCAGTTATAATATGAATTTTAAAAGTTTCAGCCATCTATATCTGAAGTTAAGTCTGCTTCAAATGCAACAAAGCAAACATTAACATTTAAAATAAAAAAAAACTTACAATTTACTTGTGACACAACTTAGTAATTGAATCATTTGAAAATTCTTGAATTCCTCCTCCACCTCCCATACTATAAAGAGAATTGAATCAATCGAACTACTATGTGCAAAAATTTGACGACTTAGTCAAAAAAAGTAATATAATTAGAATTTAGCATTAGAATTCTAGGAGACAAAAATTAAGATAGGCTGGTGTGTAAGAGATAAATTGTCTCTGATCCACTGAGAGTTTACTGGTATTATGTAACGCTCCGCCGCACTGTGCTTTCTACGCCATCAACTTGCCATCAAGATGTCAATGGGTAATTAAAAATGTTATGGAATTAAATCATCTTACCTTCCACAAAACATGGTATATTTCATGGTATTTCATTAATATTTAAAGCAAAACGCCCCAGATTTCATCTAATTTTCATCTGAACTTTATCTTGCTTTTTGGGGAGACACTNGGGGGGGGGGGGGGAAGTCTACCACAAATGTTTCATAATTCATTATGGGGGGTCAAAGGCTACATTGTATGAGGTGGAGGGGGTCGAAAAAGGGGCGCAAGTGTCTTACATAATACAAGCACACTACTTCTTAATATAAAGCACCTGACTGTCTGAAAAAACAACCAAACTTGGACTAGAACTGCTTAAAAATATGGTAACAAATACTGATACAAGATGAAAGTACTCACTTTCATGAGGTGCTGAACCAGACGTCTCCACTATTTAATATTACATGTGAGAAATTTTTTTAACCTTCACTGACACTTTGTTCCCAGTTTGGCCAGATGTATTGAAATATGAAGCCAATTTATTAGTCACCCTGGGAGAAAACTATCAGAAAAAGTTGAGGAACATTTTTTTAACGCCAAAAATGGTCTAGGCAACCGCCTGATAAAAACTAACATCGCCCTAAAGAGAAAATAATAGTCCTCATTGAATAATGACCATCTGATTTTTCCTCACTGTTTTGAGGTACCGAACAATCAACTATCCATTTCTTATGGAAAATAACATGGAAAATCAAAACCATATTTTCTTTTCAAATTCAGCCAATTTTTCGGAGCATGAGCGTCCTTGGATCGCTCCTCGAGGATTTGGCATTTCTTTTAATGTATAAGACATTTCACTTAATCAAAAAAGCACAAAAAATTTTGATTTTTGAAATTTCAATCTTCTTTTCCTTTCTTGCTCTCTGGTGAACAGGACAGTCAAGAACATTAGCCCTGGTGTAAGAATCTTGAATGCTAAAAGATTAAATCTCTTTGGTGCTTTTTGTAGTAAGTTGAACATTTAGGTATATAAATCCAAAACCTCGAGAAGTGATCCCTGAATATAATTTGGTCAAGAGACAACAGAATTCGAAAGAAATATACGGTTTTGATTTCCCATGTTACTATCCATACAAAATAAAAAGGTAGTCGCCCGGTGTCCGATTGGCTGAAAAATAGCGCGAGCAAATCCAATGATCATGCACAATTTCTATTCAACGCAGGCTCTTATTTTTACTTTTCTATGTATCGATCTGACACTGCAAAATTGATCTGTTACTTTATTTAGATACGTGCACCAAAGATAAAAAAATGAGTCTGTTCAAGCAATCTGAAATAGATAAATAAAAAGATAATACACAATCTCTTTGAAGTAAATGATACATACACACTTGTTAAAAAGTTAATCAGACAGCGCTCTGCCTGATTTTCCCCTGTGCCTTTTTTCGATCTTGTGCAAAAGTCTGACTACCGTCAGAATACAAAGAGACCGATAATTTACAACTAAAAGTCTAAACTTATACTTAAATAAAGTACATGCGTTCAACGCTACTCAGTTGCAAAAGATTCAATCAAAGCAACTGTTAATGATGTTTAATATTCATGACTTCCTACATAAGTGCTTCAATTGAGATTTTACTTCACTTGCTACAAATATTTCACATCTCTTCTTATTACACGAGATTTTAACACTATTATCGGCGGTTTGTAAACTGTGAAAGAGAAGACAGCGAATATTTGGTCCGAAAAAAATGAGGGAACTTTAAAAATCTATTGTTAGATACACTTAAAACATTTCCTCAAAAATAAAATTTCTGTGGGTGACTTCTGCAAGAGGAAGGGCCACTAATTGCTAAATTATAATGTAATGTTGTGTGATTCAATATTATGACAACAAACATCACTCTTAAATTCAAGTTCCACAATTATTAGGTCTTATTATCCTCAAGAGCGCAGTCACTGTATTTTGGGCGAATTATGAATCAACATACTGGGGTTTTATGAAATATGTTACAGCTAATTTGTAAAAAGTTCCCAGAACAAGTTCACCAGAAGTTCCACAAACTAAGCTTGCATGGACAAGGCCTTGAGCTAAGTCTTTTTAGACAGAGATAATATCAGTTAGCACTCTTGAAAACCAAAATTTCATCAAAATTGACAATACCAGAATAAGAATTACACATAAATAATTATCACAAGAAATACATCTGATATGATCTGAGAGGAAACATTTATTCTTGGGATTTATTTAAAGGAATTTGAAGATCTCAATAAGAGAGAGGTATAGCACAAACTTCAAGCACCATAGGACCCCTCATGCGTAAAAAAAGAAATGCATTGAGAAAAACCTAAAATACATGTGAAAAATTAGGGATTCATAATTGGGATCAAATTAAACAATTTTAGTTGAGGAGCATATCTTAACTCATGCGCAAGCTTCTGTAAAGACAATATGTTTCATTAATGAGCTTCGCTAGATTGCTGATTATTTGAATGAACTTAATGGCGGAACTTTCATTATCACTTAAAGCTGCATGTTTGGAAATACAAACCCACAATATGGGATGCTAAGACCATCAAACAGTTAAAAGTTGCAGGTTGATAATGTGATACTTTTTGCGAGTTTCACAAATACTTGTGTTATTAAAAGTTCATAATTCCTGTAAGAATTTACACTTTGAAATGCTGTATGTTTTTTTAAAATACTAGCAAAAGCCAAGGCTGACTGGGATCATTCACAAACTATTGAGATAATCTACTTTGAGCACGATGAAAAACAATTTACTGGAATAAAAAGTAAAGCCATTAGCATCAGCACTTTAAAAACAGCAAGAGGAAGATCATTCTTAAAGGGCACTCTTTAACTTTTGAAAGACCAAAGAACAGTTTTTATCTAAAAGCATTTCTGACAATAATAGACTTGACTCATAAAAACATCACTATCCAATAAAAAAGAACAAAAAAGTTATTTTACTCTTAACCTAACTCACTAAAAGGAAGAGGTTCAAGCTCAACCTCCTAAAAATCTAAACAAATCTGCTTTGGTACGCAACATTAAATTCAGCATGTACTACAATAAAAGAGATCTAATTAGCTTGTGGAACTTCATCATATGAAAAACATATGGAACTGATAGCCTAAATTTTTTGCAACCTCAATCCTGCAGTTTTTTTTCTAAATGTATACGATTTTTACAGACTCAATCATTACTTGACTGACACTTTCAATTTTGGGAATTTTTTCAATCCCTTTCCAAATGATTTTTATGATGATCGCTCCACATTTATCATAAATTTATAATAATAATTAAAATTTTTCATGATTTAAACTAGACCTCTTATGATCAAAAACTATTTTAATTTACGACAACTGAAAATAAAATAAATTAATAAAAAATCTCTTTGATCAAAGAAATTAAAAAAAAACAAAGACTCAATTTATCACCTCATCATATTTTAAAAAATATTCATGGGGTGAAATCATTTTATAATTTTAATGAACCAGTGGGCAAAGTTTAAGTTTAAATACAATATTATAGAATAGAATATACTCTCCTTCATAGTGCATTTAAAATCATACTTCAAATTTACATTCAAGATAAAAAGTCAAGAAAATACCTCTTCAGCAAAGGTATTGTTCTTATAATGTCTTCTAACTTAAAAACACAGAAAAAATTAAGGCCTACTAGATTCCATTCAACACTTAACCAATTTTTTTCAACTTTTTTTTACTTATTTTTGAAGGGCCATCAAGTAATTTCATCAAGTGATAATATTTTACTGAATCAATGCCAAAGGGTTGCATATTTTGATTCTGATATTATGTGATGGAGAAAGGAACGATTGACCACTAGACAAGGTATGACTTTAGGCATTCTGGTACATTTTTCCTCATCAAAATTTCATGTAGAATATGATTTGCGCAAGAAAAATTACTAAAATGAATTATCAACTAAAATAATAATGGTTTTATTTGGCATACGATTACGACAAATTCGAATTTTCCGCTTACATGAAAAACAAGAGTCTACTTGAATCCAATTACATTCTATGGCGGTTTTGGTAAGCTTCTCAATCAACAGTGTTCCTTCCCTAACCTGCGTTATTCACTGAGGTTGTCATGGTTACATACCACAGAGACTGTTTCAATAGCGTTTAGTATGCCATGTAACTCAAGTGGATCATGGTTTTTTTTAAGAGCACGAAGTTTGGATTAATGCATCAAGCAGCGTTAATATTTTTGATGGAATTACCTTGCAGTAACTCTTGTTGCACAAGTTGTGTTTCATAAAATTTGGTGGATTTATCACAAAATTCGGCGATTTAGTTCAAACTTTGCCAACTGGTTGCTGTGCAATGATGCTACTAAAATTGAAGAGGTTGTGAATATTTCAACATATTTTCTGGAATAAGATTAGAGAATGGTTCATTATATCCTCTACTTTAGCTTCTCTTTTGTGATATTCAAAAAAACATAAAATTACTCTAGGAACTTTAAAAACAGGAAACACAGAAATAAACATGCATACACCCTTTGGCTACGATAATTTTCTTACTCTAAAAACCAAAAAGTTTTTCTTCCTATTTGTGGGATTCATTCCCTAAAACTTTCAACAGCTGTAAAGTATGTAGGGGGCTATAAAAACAGTCATCATGCATAAAATTTGATCAATAAATATGTATGGAACAGAAATTTTTCATTTCTCACTTTTGGTCCTCATATTCACACTGTGGGGAACTAACAATTTTAGATGAAAAATGTACTTCTTACTAAAAAATGCAGACTATAATACTTTTAAACATTAAATGAGTAAAACCCTTTGGAGCTCTTTGAAAAATTTATAAGTGATTGACCTGAAATTGAGACCATAGCTGGAATAACCACCCATAGCAGAAAACTTAGTTGGGAGAAAATCGCATTTGAAGTTTTGATTATTGGATGTGTCATCGCTGATTTTGCGCCATAGGAAAACTGCAAAAGCATTTTTTTGGAATTGATTATACCCTTTGAACAATCTTTGGTGCATTTTTGGAAAATATTTCGGAATTCACTTAAAAAATTTTGATTTTAAACACGTTGTTATAGGTGGTTATTCCACCCACCACCTAGTCTCTAGATAAAATGTCTGATAAATTTTTTAAAAAATACAATTAATACTTTACAACAGTCATCAAAAATCATTCAATGTAAAACAACGGTCCTGTGACATTGATGAAGCGAATGATTGCGTTGATGGGCAGAAAAACACCGCAACGCAAATGGGTACACGTTCATAGGTAGTCATTCCACCCAACACCAAGTTTCAAGATAAAATGGCTGTTTAATTGATTGAAAACACAAATTAATGCTTTGTAAATGGCATATGACACAAAGTGACATTTATGAGCGGAAAAACACCGGTACTGGGTGGTTATTCCATGCACTAACCACCCGGTCTGACCTTACTACTCTAAAATTGGAATTTTGAGCCAAGTAATCAAGGGATTGCCTTGCCATGGCTACCATTGATACCCAAGGATACAATAATTTGAATGGACAGAGTGATGAAATAACCACCTATACGTGTATAGGTGGTTATTCCAGTGTAGGCCTTGATTATGGATATTAGCAGCTTCATGAGAGAAAGCATTATAGGCCACTTGGAGGTGAAAACTTTAAATCTACATAGCGCATACATGTTGAGGAGTATAGGCTATGTACAATATTAAAAGAGTCGGATAGAAAAACAAAACTGCAAAAGTTGGAGTATTAAAAGCGTGACTTAAACAGATCAACAAAGTAAAAAAATAATTGCATTTAGATATTAAACTACACAACCTATCAGTTCAACGTTCGCTTATACAAAATTATTCGGCTAGACAGTTATCAGACTTTGTTAGAGCTTATCTGCAGATGCGGCCTCTCGCATCCAGCTCTCGATTTCTGATTGATACATTTTTCTTTGGAGGACCTCCCGGTTCCTTGGTCTGCATCCAACGTACGTTGCTGTACCCTAAAAAAAGATGAAAATTTCAATGATAATCATTATTTTATTCAGTTTCTGGCCCGTTTGTGAAAGGAACAGAGTGAAGAAAGTCCAAATCAATTCATTTTAATCAACACAGTGGTCTTACAGTACTGCATTAACCCATTGACTTAAACTGACGGCTCCCAGCCGTCCGCGCTGCGCTGGGCCAGATCTGAAAAGACGGCTCAGAGCCATCCTCCGATTGTTTGCATTATTTTGGCGATTCTCCAGTAGATTGCGTTCTCATCAATGTTTCTATGAGTAGTGTGGCCACCCTATGACTTATTGAGTAAGGTAATTTCTTGTTTTGTTACAGTATTTTCATATTACTGTGCGTTTGCACATGAAGTAACCTCAAAATTTTCTGATTTTCGCTGATTTTGCGATTTTTGCGACTTGTTCAAAGTTACTGATTTTCGCCAAATTAAATCGTAACTCCTGGCCCGGCAGGGTCAAATTAAATCTTTAGTCAATGGGTTAAGCTTGTACTTCTGACACATACAACATGCAAACATTCTCAAACTACTGTTACTCTCTGTATAATCTTATGTTGTCACACTATTAGGCTGAAAAAGACATCTTGCATGTTGTTAACAATTTTTTATAGATTGACAATAAGTCGCAAGGCGGATTGCACTCATACAACTTGACCAGACCATAAATTAAGCTACTTTGCCACTACCCAAAGCAAAATGCGAAAATGGTTTTTTACAATACAACCATAATTATTTTACGATGGAGATTTTTGTATCAATTTATGATGGAGCGAATCCCTAGAGGAAACTGATGATTGATCTGATGAGTGACGTTTGCTAGTTCCTTAGAACTGAAATTCTAAGGACACTACTATCCCGAAGATTTTTCGTACACCCTTCAATGAAATTTCAAAGTAACCGGGCAGAAAGGAGAAAAGAAAAAAGTAATTAAGTTTTGGCGTTAAAAAAGATTGCATGGATAGGGGATGACTCAAAGACTTGATCTCATTCAACTATTTCTTGGCACCTCGAGTAAATTTTATGGATTTCTTATGTTGTAAATAATTTACCACAATTGAAAAAATAGACAGGAACTGAGTCCAAGTTACAAAAGACCCACATGAAAACATAGTGGTCTTCTTAAAATCAGACAATGAAGGAATACTTACACCAACTATGAGATCAGAGCGTAATTTTTCCAAAAGTTGAAAATCAAAGACCCAAGCTTGAATTTCTTCCCACTTCAGATCAACTTCTTCATGTAACAATTTTTCCTCTGAAATATAATTAAAAATATGTAATTACAAAATCTATTTAATCATAGTTTGTACAAATTCATCTGCGTTTGATTTAGGCGATTGATTAAAGACATTTAACCACTTTCATCATGACCCACAAGTCAAATTAACAGTTACTAGAAAAATTTGTGGCGAATTCTGAGGATGCGAAATTTTCTGTTGAACCAAATCATCAAAATTCGTACACATATATTGAGATACTTTCAAAGATAGTGTGCTTAAGATTCAGTTTTTTAAATTTCAGCAGCTAATGGAATTTAATATTACATTCAGAAATAGATTATAACTGTCTCTTCAAAAACAAAATATTTTTTTAAAACCTTAAATTCAAACTGAGCATACTTTAATAAATTCTTCTTCCATTTTGATCAATCATTGGCATTACTTCACACGTCTGAAATTATAAATTTTTACAGGAGAAGTTAAAAGAATAGACAGCTAAAATAAGCCTAGGGGGAAACACAAACTGGTTTTTACTCAAAACTGAAAGGAAAACCTGAACTTTGGCAACTTTTTTTCAACAATTCAATATTTCCTTTGCTCCTTGAGGATTCACCTTGCTGCTCCCATGAGTCACAGTTCAAAGCTTCTCTTTGTGGTACTCCTTCTTGGAGAAAAAAAAACTGGATACCACTGCCTTACAAAATATGACTCCGAACGATGGAAAAATTTTAATTTAAATCTTGTACCTAATAGAGCACGGTTCCAAAAGAAAAGATCAAAGTTCTCCAGATCTTGAATAGCATGATACAATGCTAAACAGAGAATCGCTCCAACGCTTTAAGCTTTAGGTTAAAATTTGAGAAGCTCGCAACTTTCAAATTATAGAATCAGCTTTTGAAGTCTGATGACATATATTTTGAGCAAAGTGTGAATTACTTCCTGATCAAACATGGGTGTTAGAGAAGAATGTCCTTGCTGCACTGAGTTTTATTTGATATCAGACATCTATCGATAAGATATGAGTAGTCCTTTGTTTTGCCTGCCATGAGTGCAACTTTTTCAAGTATGTTTGGTAAAAAACTGAGATATCATAAAAAATAGAATCATTTTTTTTTTTTTAAAGATAAAATTCAAAATCTTCATTTGAGTTTACTTTGAAAGGGATCAAATTATTTGTTCCTCAGACTTACCATCACGTTTTGTAGTTTGGCGTTTATACTGAATTCGGAATCGAAATGCCTCAAGTACAGACGCGACAACAATTGTTAGAACAACCATTGTAGTTAAATAAAAGAGGATGAAATATATTCGCGTAGCTGGATGAACCACAGACGCATAGCCATTCATCACAATAAACCAATTATTGACGACAGTTAGCTCAAAAAGGGTGACCATGCTTACAGCAAGGTTTGGGAATGTGTTTAGATAATAGTAGCCTAGAGCAGAGGTTCCATTTTCAGAATACTTGTAGAAATCCTCAACTGCAGTGCCACTGTTAAAAAAAAAAAATACAAATTTTTGAAATGAGAAATAGAAGCATTGAATCTTTTTTTTAGGAAACATTCATTGATTTGTTATCTCCATCTGATGTAGTCTTCCTTAGAGCATGGAGATTTTGAATTAATCTCTATAAGATATTTCAATCAAAGTTGATGGCTGACATTTAAGGTACATATATTGATAAATAGCAGGATGGTAGAATAGTCAGGGGTTCATGATATTTTTTTGTTCTTGTATACATATTTATGATTGATGTAAATACTTACAAAAATGGGAAAATTTCTCGCGAAATTTTGTTTGGAACATAAATGCAAACCTTTTCCAGGCTGTATAATTAGTTTGTTTACAAAATATCCATAGTGTTTGAGGCCATCGATGCTGTGTATTATCGGCATTAATCCTATCGATTCCAGGGTAGATTCTGTGTGCCAATGCCCCACGACAAAAATTGGTTGTCATGCAGACAAATTGCAGCGCACTATGTTGGAAAGAAGGCTGAAGTTGTGATTCAGATTCTCCTCAACACATGAGGCTACAAATGATAATACTTCTGAAGGGTGGTTGTTGAGTGATGGCAGAAATGCTGCAAGAAGGATAAGGTTCTGCTGAACGCAGATGCTGCATTTGGTTGCTGCTGGTAATGAAAGGGTTAAGGGTACTCAGCCAATTAAAGTCATTCTACTTGATACTTTGACTTTAGATACTTTACAGAAATTTTTTAGTATTGAAGCGTGTTTTTCGTTGAAGTTAGTATTAAGTCAGTCAGATCATGCGATAGGCCTGAAATAATTAGGAAAATGATTTCATGAGTCAAAAACAAAAAGAAAATTAGTCTACGAACTTGCAACAATTCCTCATATCATAGCCGGCGAACAACTCCATCCCAATAATGGCAAAGAAGTAATACAGCACCAACATCACTATAGCAGCAGATTTTACTAAAGGCGATAGCAATGCTAAAGTGCCTATGATATCTCGATACCTCTTCTTGACCTGAAACAAAATTTACCTGATAACAAAGAGGTGTCAAGTAAACATTGAATCTAAACAGTCTCGCTATTATTCATCCGTATGTATCCTTTCACTGGTATTTCTATTCAAAAATTGCATTTTAAACTGTAATTTGCCAGATTCATACCACAAATACATTTAAATATGTTTAATTTATTTTACTAGAAAAAGAGAAAAGATTGATTGAATTTGTATTATTGGCTAGGCCAGATGTAGAGGTTTGATCATTCTTTATGATACATTGGTTTCTATTTTTTCTCTGATTAGAGTATGACTCTTTTTTCAAAACAAAAAAAACTCTTTAACTTCATTTGTGATTACCGAAAATGAAAAAAGACTCTTACTAGCTGCTGGACATTTTTAAACGGTTTCAATACAGCTACTAAAAGGAGAGAAAGATTTTTTAGATAGGCCACAAACCTTAAAAAGTCTAAGTAATCGAAGAGGGCGGAAAACAACGACATAAATAAATGAAGGATACGAATTGATGATGACAACACCGAAAAGTGTTGCAATAATCACAGCAAAATCATAACAATTCCATCCTGATTCAAAAAATTGGGCTACACCAAGCCCAAGAATTTTCATCATCACTTCAAGAGCAAAAACTGAAACAAGATAAAAAAAAATGAAATATTTTTATTACATTTGTAAAACAATGGTCAGAGAAGTTAATGAACCACAAGACAGGATAAGAAATTCAATATCACAGCCCACCTTTTCTCATTCAAATTTCATGTATAATAAGGAAGACACAAAAAATGTCCATATGAAAGTAAACAATGAAAAATTAGCGTTTGTGTACTCATTAATTTAAATTACCCAGTCATTAAAAAACCTAAGTCTACTCAATTGGATTAGGCACTCGAGAAATTGAAGTATGCTTTGCGATGAAATGATTTTCCAGGTATGCTGGATTTCCTTGTGAAGTTTAAAAATACTTGGTATCAAAAGAGTAGGAAGATTTTTCTTGAAAGCAAGCTCTATTGAGTTACATATTGCTTGTATTATGGTGTCGGTGCCACAGCTGGGCTGTGCTGTGTTGCCAATTGTTGGAAGACAGGTAACTTGCCGGATGTGACTACCGCCACTCATAATAAGTATGTTCTCAATGGCTGATCTGGCTCCCATTGATTTTAGTTTTTTTGCAACTAGCAAATTTGATTTTATTGATTATACCCTAAACTGCAAACGCTAATTTCTCATTTATGAGTGCTTTTGGGCTTTTGCATCTATTTTTCAATAGAAAACACAATTAGTGTGCTTTAATTATATTCCTGCCTACGGTCCATTCAAAATGTTTAAAAAATGAGGATACACTACGGTATTAAAGGAACTTTTCAGACATCTGATTACAAACAAGTTTTTTTCTCTGGAAGAGCTAAAAATTGACATAGCCATTTTTTAGGGCAATAACCGCCTAGGCATGAGACTAAACGGTATTTCCATTAATGTCTGTGAATTCCTATTGGACCGTTCTCTATTCAAAAGGGGATCAAGAAACTGATAGTAATAGAAAACCCTTTCTATTACTAGGCTCTAGGGTTAAATCGCTAAATTTTAGAGGTATTTTAAATGAGTAAAAAGAAGAAAAAACCAAAAGTTGGAGCCAATTTGACGTAAAAAGTTTACTAAGTAATCTTGCCTCCCTTTGTGCCCATGCATACAAACAAAACTTACCTCCGTAAAATAGAAGTGTATCCCAAGAAGCACAGAAAAAGTGGGCAGCTTCCTCCAACGAAGTGTATTGGTTTACCAAGCGTGAAACCATTGCCAAACCATTTGTCAGAATTAGAACATCTGAAAAAGTAACGTATTAGAATTTAGGGAGACATTTGTTTTGACTCAAGGTTGGGCCGGATAGCAGCCAGGGGGCGTGCCTCTAAATATAAAGTAATACATGAATTATGATAGTGAGGGAACTCATAAGTTATCTTAATGACAATGTGTACGATCTTATTTCATCTTTAAAGTTTAAAATACTCCTTGGCACTTAAAATATAATAGATTTTTTGTTACTTTTTCCTGAAGAAGGTAAAAGTAATCTTTAAAGTAATCGTAAAAGTAATCTTAAAAGTAATCTTTTCTGATCAATCTACTTACAAACAATATGTTCAAAATAGTTCCATCGGACCACATTAAGACAGAGCTGGCATAAACTTTGGAGAGGCATCCATGCAGAATGGTACCATGGAATATTGGAGTATTGAGCTTCCCAATTTAGTAACACTGCATCATAAACATTGTAAAATTCATCCATTGTCAAGACTCCAGTGCGACTGGTATTCAAATACTTATACATTAAGACCACGTCACGGGCACCTGGAAAATCAAAGTAATATGTATTAAGACAACAGCTTACAAGCATTCACTAGGGAGTGGTTGATCTGAATGAGATCCAACTATTATAAATCTTAAAACTGCATAAAGCTTTGCAAATTTATTCCAGATATTGTGAAAAAAAAAACTGTACAGCATACTTGTGCATCTGGTCAACATCTCGAATTTTTTGCCCTGTGTAGAGTAATGAAAGCAGCAGCGCAGCAGCGTTCTCTAAAACATGCATGCATGTTTAGCTCTTGAAAATTTTTGAAACTTTCCTTGGCAAAAAGAAATCTCATGACATGATAGTACATTCTCCATCTCAACTTGCATTTGCATGGGCATTACAACTGAGCAGCAAGCAGCATAAAGGGTGTGACAACATGGTCCAGAGCATATTGCCATTTTGCCATTCAAGAACAGATCCATTCTAGTCAAAAATCATATTAATAGACAGTGCAGATGAATGAAGGCTTTTTTGTTGAAGAGTTAAGGACTTGGGACGAGGGTCTGAGAAAAAAGAAAAAAAAAATTATTTTTCTGATCACGATTGTATTGCACATGTTGACGTCAAATTCAGGAACAAAAAACTATAGAGTTCTGCCTGCTAGTAAGACGATGAATGTGCTTTAACCAATGGATTGTGCTTCCGTATTTTTGTTGAGAGCCGTTTGTTGTAAAAAACATTTCTCTACATCGCAAAATTGTTCGGTCTATTTTAGAGAGAGGGTACTGCACTTGTGAAGTTCCAACACATCAAGTTGGGAAATGAGATGACAGAAAAAGTCAAGAAAAGAAAATTGAGTAGGGTTCCTCCAAATCATAATGAATATTCTCAACTTACTTTTTTTTGGTGAGTAATATCGCATCAACCCCTCAAATTGCTTGAACCGAATCTGGTTTGGGTGCTGCTTGGTGACGAGGAGCCTGAATGCTTGCTGCGCTGCCTTTCGCTTGTGAAGAAGCAGCTTGCGAAATTTCCGTTTTTCTATACTTGTGAAAGTTTCATAGACAACGGCTAGCATTAGATTCATGAGGACGTACAGTACAATACAGAGATAGGATATGAAGAAAAGTGAATTCCATTTTGATCTTGAATAGGATGGCATCATGACATCAGGAAAACTGAAAAAATTAGACAATTTTCAAATTATGTTGGTACACATTCCTACCTAATGAAAATTAAAATAAGTGCGCAAAAAAATGCATGTGATGAAATAAGAGCAGTTACCTATTTTGAAATAAAAATACATTACAGGGTGTGACAAAAGTCCGTCCCACCCCTGCTAACTTTTGAACGAATTGAGCCAGGGAAATGAAACTTTGGGAATGTTCCTATCTCAAAGGGGACCATCTTTTGGGGGGTCAAAATTTTGGTTCCCCCTCAGGAGGGGGAAGGGGGACCCCCAACTTTTTTTTTTTCAAATGGCAACCCCTATCTTGTGATACCTCACTCGAAATAGCATAAAAAACTAAGAATTTTGACGCAAATCGCAGATCAATATCTTAATTTTTGACCGAGTTATGATAGGTCAAAGGTCAAATTTGACCATTTTTTTAAAAAATCATAACTCCGGTTCAAATTATCAGAAAGAAAAAAACAAAACGGGAAAATTTACCAAATTGTGTCCCCTTTTAAGTAAAAATTGCAGAAATCACTTCAAACTAATTTTAAGGGGGGGTTCGGACCCCCAAATACGTCAATTCAAAGGTCATTCAAATTTCCCGCGAAATAAGCCAATTTCCCCTAGATTTGCCTCCACATTATCTCATTAAGGTCAAAATCAGTTCAACATTACGTTGGCAAGTCCCCAAATTTCGGGAAAAGTTAAGAAAAACGAAATTTAAGGTGATTTAATTTGAACGTTTAAATTTTTTTTTTTTTTTAACTTTTCCCGAAATTTGGAGACTTGCCAACGTAATGTTGAACTGATTTTGACCTTACTGAGATAATGTGGAGGCAAATCTAGGGGAAATTGGCTTATTTCGCGGGAAATTTGAATGACCTTTGAATTGACGTATTTGGGGGTCCAAACCCCCCCTTAAAATTAGTTTGAAGTGATTTCTGCAATTTTTACTTAAAAGGGGACACAATTTGGTAAATTTTCCCGTTTTGTTTTTTTCTTTCTGATAATTTGAACCGGAGTTATGATTTTTTAAAAAAATGGTCAAATTTGACCTTTGACCTATCATAACTCGGTCAAAAATTAAGATATTGATCTGCGATTTGCGTCAAAATTCTTAGTTTTTTATGCTATTTCGAATGAGGTATCACAAGATAGGGGTTGCCATTTGAAAAAAAAAAGTTGGGGGTCCCCCTTCCCCCTCCTGAGGGGGAACCAAAATTTTGACCCCCCAAAAGATGGTCCCCTTTGAGATAGGAACATTCCCAAAGTTTCATTTCCCTGGCTCAATTCGTTCAAAAGTTAGCAGGGGTGGGACGGACTTTTGTTACACCATGTATAAAGTAAAGTAAAAAGGAAGCGAAATTTTTTTTTATTGTTTATTTTCTCTGTTTTTTTAATCAAATAGAGACCATTCTATTACTTTCTTATTCAAGTTTTTGGAGAAAAAATCATTTTATATAATAGTGTAGTCAGAGGAAAGCTCTCGTCAGACAAGTTAGCAGATATTCACTTTTGGCTATCACGCACTGCAGACCAGTTTTCCATACCTACGCATGGCAGCAACATTGACTAATGTCAATTCTTAGTCGATTGCTGATGGTCAGTGAATAACTCCCAACATATCGGAGACGAGTTTGAACTATAATTGTTATTTCAGAGCCTATAACACTCAACACATGTGAAAATTCTATATCTATCATCTCTTGAAAACTGATTACTCACTGGAAAGTAAGGTATGGATTAAAGAAATAATATTACTGAGTCTCTTTAATTTTCTTGCTTTGGTCAACAATTAATTTTTATGGATGACCTTATTAATGATTTGGGCTTAAAAAGTTAGCATTAAAATTTTGTTTCTTCTACAACTGAGGTACAAATTGTTAGAAAATGAATAATGCATTGAAAAACTTAGAAGAAAAATACACATTAAGTTTTGATTATGTTGAACACAGGAGATAGTGAGAGTTATTTTTGGGATGACTCAAAAAGGAGTATTTTATAAATTGATCACTTACTTTGCAGTTGTCAGAAGAACAAACATGCTCACAAAACTGTCAAAAAGTGTGGTGAAATGAGAATCCAGGGGATTGTCGGAGAATAAAAAAAATCCAAGAATCGCATAGATTGAAACAAAGAAGAATATTAACAAGAGCATGTCAAAAATAGGGGGCATTGACTGAAGGATTTGACGGATGAATCTACGCACACCTCCCAAGTGGCGTGTATCAACCAGAAAAATGGGTCTTAATGCTCTTGTCGCTCGAAAATGAGAAGACTGTCGAATTAACACAATGATTGCTTCAATACACATGATACCCAGAGTTGCACACTGGAACAACAAAAAAAAACATCTCATCAGATATTTTGTCATTATTCATCCATTAAAATTTGAAGCTTTATGTAAGTTTCAGCCATTGAAATTAGCAAAGGTCTATGAAGCACAAAAATAAGAATGCTAGGGATTTAATCAATGACTTTTCAGTAATTTTTAGCACTGAGTCCGAAAATGATCCTAATTCATTTCATTTATCCACTATTTCCAGAAAATTGAGATTTTTCTGAAATGTGTGGTTTTCGAGGACGGTTCAATTTTCTGGGAGAACAATGAATGAGAGGGAAAAGTCAACTTATTTTTGAATGTTCCGGCTGGAGATGCAGAGAAGAACATGTAGTGTATGCCCAGAAAATTTTCTCCTTTGTGTCGGAAAGCAAGGTATCTCTGGAAAAATGACATTATCTGATCGTATACTGTGGAGTCCTCTGATCTGAGATGACAAAAAGTAATTTTACCCAGGTGTCACAAGGGGCAACTCTTACTTCCTTTTTAATGTTGAAGTCAAAATTGATCTCAATTGTTATTTAGTGCCTACCAATTTTTCAGAAAAGATATTTTCCAGAAAGAAAAAATGTCTGTTTCAGGCAACTATGTTTTTTAAAAAAATCCTATTCTCCAGAAAATTTGTAAATGATGGAAAGAAACAAAATTTCTTGTTGGCTTCATTAGCATGAAGTCAGTGTGGATGACCCCATTACACAGACACCAGGGAGAAATAATTTTCCTGTCCACTCAAACGCAGAACAAGAGGATTAATTTTTCAGATATGGGATATAACTTTCACTTCACTTAAAGTGTCAAACTGTGACTATCACTTTCATATTAGAACTTGTTACTTGTTAGTAAACCCATTAAATCTCTCATATTTAAAGGAAAAAGTTTCATTCACTTGTACTCTCAACAACCTGTTATGTGACTGAAAAAGAGCAGTTTTTCAAGAGAGTGGCTAGACTTCGAATCTTTGCGCCAGTTGATCAGGCAAAAACCTTCTGAAGATACTTCAAATGAGGATATTTTCTCACAGGATAGATGATTAAGGGTCAAAAGGGGGCATCCATAACATTATTCTGAGCTATTTCACACCTAATTCTCAGTTCTCAGCTATTTTACTCTCCACTGAGTCTAGTACATGTACTCTCCATTGGTCACCCTTTGTTTCCAGCTGTTCCCTCTATTTTAAGGGCTCACAAGATATTCTTTTATCCCTTCTCCCACATTAGACTTACAGGAAGGTCAAAGGAAGAGAGAGAGGAGCAATAGGGTCATTGATTAACACAGTTCATTGGTAGCACAACACTGCCATTTTTTCTTACCTTAATCATTGTGCGCTTATGCTTTAAAATTGTATTCCAACCAATCCACCTCAATTTTAAAGATACTTCAATCCCAACAACTGCTAGAGCAAACAGTTCAATTGTACCATGGACACCAACTGGCAACTGAAAAACATTAAGAGGTTAGTATAAAATGAAAAGAAAATATTCGATGTGATATGTTTGACACGCGCATCATTCATGAAACTCAAAATATCCCTCTAAAAGCTTTTAAAAGGTATGCTCTGTTGAATCCTCGATAATTTTTCTTTTTTCCACTGAAAATATAAGTTTGACAACATGACCTGGGAACAAAACCTGAAAACATGAGACAAGTCATGAAGGGCACCTCAAGGGCAACCCGGGTGCTAAAGACGCACCCAACCCAAGAGGCAGGCAGGCATCCATTGCTGTCAGCACATGCATTGGAGTCGTTAAGCCACCGTTGCTACCTGCACCAACATCTCTCCCTTTACCTTTGGCTTTACCACACAAAACTGCTTTCAATTGCTGTACAGAATGCAAAACTGAAAGGTAATCAGCTGTGAAGAAATCACGGAATCCATACTTTTGTTCCAATGTCAAAATCGCATTGTTCCATCATGAGAGTTAAAAGTCACTGTTAGGACTTTCCTAATTTTTTTTTTAACCCTTTTCACAAATTTCTTTGTTAGTTCATAAGAATGGCTGGATTCATCACTTTTTCTTCAAAATTTCATTTTTCGTTCGTTATCCTCCAACCATCTTATTTTATTGACCCTTATTCTAATTACCGGACTTGCAACTGATAGCTACATAGATTACAGCCAGCCAATCGCAAGTAGTCTTGCTGTCTCACAATCCGTGACGTCAGCAAGACTATATAAGCATGTGCCGTGTGCTGCCCATTTTTCCAGGTCTTTTCCTATCTTACGGACCCGCAGCTCTTGTTACCAGAATTATTGGTCTTTTTCCATCTCTTAAACTTTTGACCCATGTTACTTGCATTTTGGTCTTCTCCACCCCAGACCCATTTAAGTTCTATCCATAGTGCAACTCTGTGATATTCTGATTCTGTGCTCTTTCACATCAATATACATTCTCGGCATCCAAATTATTTATTTACTTGCTCTTCTGTTCAATGTATGTGATCATTTATTTATTTTATTCAATTCTTGACATGGTGCCTCAATCTCATTTCCATGTGTAAATACTGGCATGGTGCCGAACCGTGTTTAAATACTGACAGTCGCAGACCATAAATAAAAACAACTCCAAGTCTAGAATTTTTAGAGCATATTCTTGGTCTTAACAGCACAACTGCGCAGTCAAGAGCGATATTGATGGCCAAAGTTTGAAACGACATATCTCTGTTTGCATCATTGCAGACTTCTTATCATACTTCTTTTTTCTTGGAAAAATTAATGCACATAATATTTTAAAAACCTCCTTGATTTTTCTTCTCTATTGGCAGAATATTCTACCTACATAAATTTCAAGCTACAAAGTTGGCTTGCCTCTTTTAAAAAAATTTAACAAGAGTAGAAATCTTGAAACACCGCAAAAAAGATATGTGGTTTTACACTGCAGGGTTTGCTGGTGGTGAATATATCCTTTCTTCAAGATGAAAGGAGTGAATAAGGTTTTAAATGATTGTGCTTTTCTGGTGTAGAATGTTTTAATTAAGTTCTTTTGGAGGTAAAAGGCAGGGTCAATAACACATTATTCTGATGTTGCTTGAACTCACTGATTGCTCAGCAATTGAAAAGTAAACGTTTGGAATTTAAGTAACATACTTGGAATGCTGGCACAGCAGGATCTTCGGTGACTGCAAGGAACATTAATATCAAGGAAGTAACTAACCCAAGACTGTAATACCATGAATTATGAACCAATAAGTATGCTGGTAATGCATCTGGATGGTGTGGGTGAGAGTCAAATTTTTCATTATTTTCTCCTTCCTAAAAAAAAAGAAGAAAATAAATATTAGGTACATTAAAAAAAATTTACCAAAAATTTAAACACTGCTTTACATGCTGTGAAACTTAATAACATAACAGAGGCTTTTACCTATGTGATTAGGAGCCAAAATCGTACAGGTTTCTTACTTCAAAAAGTTAGAAGTGAAGAGAAAAAAGACTTTCTTGTGAGGAGACTTCATCATAGAGATTACCAGAAATTCTCATTTCATTCAATCATGAGAATTTCGAGTTCAGGATAGGCAAAACCACAGTGCATGGGGGGAAGTTCTTAAAAATGAATGATTACTATTATTTTATAGTTTACTGTTTGAGATCCAAGAAAATGATTTAAATACACTCTGGTAAATTTTATGAGGGCATAGTGATTGAGTTTACCTCTAAGAAAATTGCTGCTTCATGAAAATTCATTTCCCAGTGCTCAGGAGAGTCATTGAGTAAGTCTGACGCGACAGGAGTTAATTCGACTTCAGCATGAGCCTCTGTTTGAGGATTGCTTCTTTCTGTCAAGTTGCCATTTCCTTCCATTGCTTCTCCATCATTGTCTGGAAATTTTTACAAGAAAAGTAGGTAAGAACTCATTTGCAAGGAGCAGGGGTACACTGACAAACGTGTGAAAATGAGGAAAAGATCTAAAAATGTGATAGGCCTTAACATCAATTTTGTGACCCTCTCAATCACTAGTCATTACGATTAATTGAGCTATGTCTTTTTCTTCTCATCGACCAAATTGTCTTCATACAGGTCTTTTTTGCGTAACTTATTGTTATGTCTTTTTTGCCTATTAAAGTTTCTGACTTGGAACACTCTTGTCTCCAACTTCATTTTAAGTAATCTCTTAAACCTGTAAATTGACAATCTGATCAAGTATTTTTATTTCTGCGAATTCACAGCAGGTTAATTTAAATAACTGTAAGCTTAATATTGGCATGTTTTTACTGCCAATTGTATTGTACTTGTGATGAATATATAATTTTGTGACCCAGCATTTTATCAAGAGGGAGTTCTATTCCCCAATTTCAAAGGTCATTACTTTAGAGGAGTTATAGTACAGAGTGATGGTCCAAGTTTTCCATACTTTTGGCTGTTGATCAAACGATTTCAAAATTGAGACAGGAACCCCAATTTTCAAAGTTAGGACCCCCCCCCCCCCCCCCCCNCAATTTAAACTCTCGAAGGGAACTGAGGAGCTCCGGGCGATAAAATTTGGCTTCCTTGGGATCAATTCCTGGATTGTCCATGACTTTGTCCAATCTATTTTCACCAAGAAAAAAAGCCTGATGCGGGCAGTCTGGGGAACCGTGTACTTTTGGGTATCTAAGATTTCGTTGAATCTGGACAATCTTTCCAAGAGCTTTATGTACAGCGCTTTTTCAGTGAAAAAAAATCTTGATTTAATTGTTACCTTCATATTTCATTTGAGTACCTAAAAGTCAACCGACAAAATTAGGCGTAAACTGTATCTTTGAGAAAAGGGCTGGGCAATAAGTAACATTTTACGTGCTTTGAAAACGTTGAGCCTGATGACGCTCATAAAGATCGTAGACCAGGACGTACTCTGGGAGAAGTCAAAAAGAAGTGTGGTCAAAGATTCTATTGGCTGAGTTTGTATGTGGTAGGTGCGCAATCTAGATGGGACCAGGCCAGACCAAACTGGACTGACAGCTAGGAAGTGGCTAAAACTAAGTGATATACTTAATGAAGATGTTAGTATTGTTAGTACAAGGCATGCAACACTCACTGATGCTGTGTGAGAGAAATGAACTGTTGACAACCACACTATCATTGAACTGAACATATCCATCAGCGGTGGGTGTAGTAATTTTGCGAGACGCCATAGTTCAATTGTTTAATTTCTAAAGTAATATGTCCCATGAAAAAAAAGGGAAAACATTACTATTCAGACAACAAGAGACCTTCGGTAATTACATGGCCACACGATTTCCAAAAATTACCTTAATTGTTGAACGAAACTATTGCTAAAAGAGATTATCTCTTGAGATTGAGACCATGTTTAATTATAAAAACGAAAAAAAATGACCTATTGACTAGTCTAAGTTCGAACTGGTGTTTGTAGCAAATACATTTCTCATTTCAGAAAATAAAAGAAGCCAATCAAAAGATCAAAACAAAGAGAGATAAGAGATTAGAGATTTTTCCGTGAAACTGGCAACCGTGCGCGCATTCGGTGAGGTTATGTTTATTTTATTATTATATTCTTATCTGAATCGGAATTCGGCAATTCGTGTAGAGTCTCAGTTGAGTGGTTTCAGAGTATTTATCATTTCTCAATTTGACTCTCCGGTTCTGTGAACTCAAGGTTTTTGATTGCCATCACATTTTGATTTCATAACATGGAGCACGTTCCTCGGTTCCACAGTTAATCTGCCACTGACTGCATGATCCGGCCAAAGCCGAAAGAGCTACATACTTACTTGCAGAAGATCGATTGAATTTTCCATTATTCAGGTAAAAAATAATTTTTACATCCTGGCAAATATCTACTGTTGTCGGCCTCCTGTGGTGTAGTGGTTGTAGCGCTGGCCCTATGATGAAGAGGTCCCGGGTTTGATTCCTGGCCAGGTGATCTGAGTTTGACGGTCTCCGGCAATGGTCACCTGGGGCTGGGGTAATAAGCGTGGGATTAGCCAATAGGCTATTTGAAATTGGTGAAAAAAAAAAAACTCTTTTAGAGCAGAAGTTGTCACTATATCCTCCTGCTTTAAATTATGAAGCAGACCTCTCCTGCTCGGTCACTTCGTGTCCAATTAAGTACAAATGGATTTTGTTTTACCCCCCCCCCCCCCACACACCCATGGCGTGCAGTCCTGCAGCTAAAAGTCTGCAACTTTATGCATGAAGACAGGACAAAGTAGGAATGGAGTACTTGCTCTTTGATTGGGAGATCAAGGGGCCGAATTTTGTCGGCTTTTTCACACGGAGTGCCAGAGCCATCGATGAGTTCAAACCGCACCACCAGCTAATCAGAAGCGCTAGGCCACACTTAAGTGCAGTTGAGGCCCGTCCTAAGTATATTTAAGTACAGTGGAAGGACGGACAAAATTCAGCCCCTGATTTCAACTTTCCGCTAGGTAACCCAAGTTCGATGGTCCCAAACAACTACCTGGGGTTGGCGTTTTAAGAGACTGAAGAGGGATGGGTCTGTAAGTGTAAGACCATCCCTCAGGCATATTTTAAGTGGAAAAGAGAAGGAAAAAAGGTAAGGAATTTGAACTATCAGGCTGTAGGTGAGCAAGTCAGGTTGGAATATAGGACAAAAAGCCCCTCGGAGAATGGATTGTCTACGAAGGACATGCTGTTGGGTAAGGACACAGCATGGACACGATAGGAACAATGCTGTGGTTAGCCTGCCCAAGGGACTTTGAAGTGCTGTAATAAATTTTCTTTCTTTTCAACCATTTATTAAGTAGGTAACTTCTATTCCTTGATCCAAGGGAAAACAAGAGAGGCAATACAAATTGCTGGCCGGCTGGCCCCCCCTATACTCACGAGTCGTTTCTGTTGGGCCAATCCAACTGGTGCCCACTTGCTGGGGCCCTTATGAAAAATAACACAGGGTTCATTTTTCATCGAAAATATCTCGATAACAAGGAAACATTTACTTGTGCATCGGAGCTTTCAAAAATCAATTTTCTAGATTTTTCTGTAGAGATTGACATGACATTCTTCCCTCAAATACACTGAACCGCTCGACCTTGATTTTTATTTTTTTCAAGTTAAATTCCAGGTCAAACTGTTCGGTGTGTTTGAGGAAAAAAATCCTGTATTATCCATCAATCTCTTTAAAAAATCTGAAAAATTTATTTTTCAAATCTCTGACACACACTTTTCCTTGTTTTTGCGATATTTTTTATGAAAAATGAACCCCATGTTCTTTTCCATAATGGCCCCAGCGAGTGGGCCGTGGGCCTCATGCGAATCAGCCAATCAGAGAGGATTTGTAGCTCCACGCGGCCTGCTATTTGTAATGCAGCTCTTGTTTTCTCTTTGTCCTTGATTTTAATAAAAGCAGTTCAACACCCATCTTCTCTTTATGTTTTGACAGGTTTTGAAATAATGTCTCTCTTCTCTATCGGCAGTATCATCAATAGCTTGAAAATCTTCAGCCATATTCCTATACGGAAGCTACATGTTCCTCTCAGTTCCCCGCTGTCAAACATTTATTCGAGATTCCAAATACCAGATTCAAACACTTTTAGAAATGGCAATCATATTCTTCAGCCTACCACACCCCTTCGCATTGATGTCTGTGGCATGAAGGTTGTTGGCAAACCTCACAGGAGGTGCAGGGACTGTCGTCTAGTTTTCATCGATGGCGTTCTTCATAATTTATGCTCTGCTTATGGTAGACACACTCAGAGGCGAAGAATGCCTCATTTTAAAGCTACCAGAATCGTAACACATGCTCAACAAACCAAGCTACGACCCTGGTGATTCCTGTTGTGAACCTAGTTTATATAAATCTGAAGATTGTATCCTGTTAAACCTATGTTTTGAAAAATATACTGGCTCTTAAGGCAAATGTCTTGAATAAATTTTTACCCTCTCTGTAAAAACACTGAAGCGCTGCATTCTTTGTCAGGATCGAGATTCATTCGAATGCTCTCCATTTATGATGGTCGTCTATCATCACTGAAAGCCCTCCTTGGAAATGGAAGTCTGTACCTGTTACTCCTAAGGAAATATCAAAGAAGACGAATGGATGGTTATAGGTGTGAAAAAAATGAATAATAACAGGTCACTTTAGGAAAGACAGGGGCTCTGATAAAAGTCGCATTTTTCACCCCTGTTAAACTATTTTGATCAAGAGTATGTGAGAAAATACTGCAATGTTGATGGCTCTCAGTGATTTTGCAGGAAATTCTTGCAATTTTTCCAAGGAATTCCTAATTTCATGATCTGCTTGCGAGAATTTCCAAATCTCAATTTCCCCAGTTTATTTCCAGAAGGAAGTGTATTTAATCATACTAAAATTGGTTTCAAAGCTGTCAAGAGGAATTACAAGACTCTCTAAGTCCTCCAAAAAAAATTTTAAACTTTCCAAATCTATGCGAAAGACTTAGTTTCTCAGATAGATTATAAAAAAAGTCCTGTGGTTTGTGACAAGTTGAAAAATAAATTGGTAAAAAATTTAATTACCATTTTTTTTTACTTTCATTTTAATTATACAATATTGAAAGGCAAAAAATACAATGAAAATATGTGCACGACAAAAAAAGTTGATTTCTTTTCAAATTTCAGAATATTAAGTACATAAAAAAACCAGAATTTGCATTTCAATGTTTGAGTTCATCCTCGAGTAGGTATTTTATGTCTTGAAGTTATATTACGTACTATTTAATATTTTGAGAAAATATGTAATCTTAAAAGTGACTAAAGCATTTATCACAGGTGTTCCGTGATTTTATTTTAAAACATTTAACAGTTAAAAGAGATCTTGGGAAGAAGATGACATGATTTCAAACTCGATTATGAGCTCAATTCTAATAAAAAAAATTAGGCACCTAGTTGAGGTCGCTTTTGACATTTTTAAAATTCTTGGAAGAGTGCCATTGTAATTCAGGCAGATGAGAAAAATTCTAATACATTCTGTGGTATCCTGCACTAAGCTCACCGTGGCATTAAACATCAATCCATTAAGGTTAAAATTAGACTTTACAGAACAGGGGAAAAATTGAAGAAAATCATTTTTTCTACGATAACACCTAATATCACAGTTTCTTGTTAACCTAATAAAAGTAACTTCTGCGTTTCAAATAGAGATAAATTCAGTAAATAAATGGAATAGATAGTATTGCTTCTGAGTCAGCTAGAAAAAAAAAACAAAAAACATTTTAAAGAATTTGATCAAAAAATTCAAACTTGAAATGGGATTACTATCAATGCAAATAATAAAAAAAATAAAAGCAACTGAAGATGAATCTGCTACAAATGGCCATTGAGTAAACATTTTATCAAGAACTTGCAGTTGAGGACCTCAAAAAAGAGGGATCAGTCTTGTGTTCCAGGAAGTTTAAAATGAGGTCGCCTTCAAGTTATCGAATAATTGCTCAGTATCTACAGGACATTTTTTTCATTCTCATTAATTCTTGTCTTCAATACACCTCATCAGATTTCAAATATATCAAGAAAACATGGATGCAATTACAATAATTACAGTTGAGTTGGCTTGTTCAAAAACGTCTGATGTCCAAAAAACAAATTTTTCATGAAGGGCAAAATCCGTGAAAGCCTAGGAGTCCAAGTTCTGAGGAAAGTCAGAAAATAATTTTTTTTAGTAGGGGTCTTTACTAAAGTTGACTAGAAAGTATTTTAAACAAATATAATATGCCTCCTAATCTAAGATGGATAGAGACAATCAATATACAGCATCTGAAAGCCACTAATCTCAGCTTTTTAACTTGCGACAGAACTTCATATTTAGTCTGGTAGAACTCTGAAAAAATGGGTTCTTTAAGCCCACCTCCTCTCCATTCAGGTCCAAAATTTTACTGTGCGCCATCCGGACATTTCCTTCCGCAACGATTTAAGATACTCACATGGAAATCCTTTTTACCTCCTACCAATTGTAAGCAGAATTCTCCTAAACATGCAAAGGTGCCAGTTATATGCGTGTCTACCATACCATCTTCATACAAACAGTACAGTCACTTCGTCTAGAAAGTAATGAGGTGCAGGAAGAAAAAAATAAATGGACATCGGAATGTTTTGAAAGAGCTAATTCAACTGTCGTAAATTTAAATATATATATTTTCCCGTGGTAAAAATGATATTTCTGTTGTGGCAAATTCCTCTTTCAGTTCTAAGGATGCGCATCTGCAGTTCTAACCAAGCACTGAGATTGCTGCCATGGAATTTCAGGTATCAGAAGATTTAGTTATCCGTTGGCTAGAATCATACAATGTTTAACAGGCACTCATAATTCTTGCTGGTGATGAAGCATTAAACATGCAGATCACAGTGGTATATTCTTTTTATGAATAAGAAAAAGAATCGATGATTTAAAAATTTAGAGGCTAAACTTTTATGATAATAAAACCATCGACTAAATCACTTACTGTTGCAAATTGAGTCAAATTTTAAGATCCCGTTCATTGCAACAAAAATGATATACTAAATCACAGGTGACAAATATGAATAACAATATTGTAAAAATAATCAACAAGAACATAACTCGTTACCTTCACTTTACAATAATCGAGATGCTTTAAAATGCATGCAACTTTGTTGGCTCATTTCAATTTCAATAATAAACTGTTAACTGGTGAACCATAAAACATAAGCTTTAAGATAGAAAAGTCAGAGAATCTATAAAATGTGAACATGGTCAAATTTTTCTCTCAATTAAAACACTAATGGGGGCTTAATTTTGACAATGAAATTCCAAAATCAAGTATCTTGTTCGCAGTGTTTACAAATCTCCGCTCCCTTTTTATTTTTTTGATAGAGACCAAATCAACATTAATCTTTGAAGTTTTTATAGAATTTTCTTCACTTAGAGAGGAAAAAGTTTAAGAGAAGAAGTTTTAAACCATTGACATCGAGTAGTTTTTCATTTGAAAAATAAAATAATACAGGGAGTTTGCAATGTTGCAAACCAAGATACATGGTCTGGGAGTTTCACTGTTGATTGGTTCACTCGATGCCAATTAAAAGAAAGTATTCATGCTGAACTTCTTCTGTATTGTTTTTTTTTTTTTTTTTTTTTTTTTTTTTTTTTTTTTTTTTTTTAAACAGAAAGAGTACCGACAAAGATATCTAATGGTTCTGCAATATGATTGATTTTGTTGAGTCAAAACTAATGATAATGAAGCCTGCAAAGATAAACAGACTGGGTCAAAAAATCCTGCCTAAATGGTAGCTCGAAAAGGAGCATAGTAGTAAAGAACGTTTCGATATATCGAAATGTAAAGTTTTTCCAGCCTACATATGTATATGTATTGATAAAGATGTGTTACATGGAGAAACTTTGATGATGAATGTTAGCTGCGTAGTACTGATGAGACTAAAGACAAAGAAATCACTGTGCCTATGCATAGACACAAGATGACATAATGCGCTGTGTTTTTCTGTAATTTGTCAACAGGTTTACCTTTACAGTTGCTGGACATAGAAACTTGACATTCATCCGGTTCTAAAAACGTATTAGTTTCTGAACTACTAGATTCTTTGATGAACCAGCAATCACAGTACAAGTTTAAGCATTCTGATGTATGTTTTCTCTTCAAAATTTCACAAAAACATAGCTAGCGCAATAAAAATTACTGACATTAACTCCTACGACGAAATGGTCCATGAGTCGATCCTAACCAAGATAGTGACGTTTTGATTTAGCGCTTGTTATAAAAGATTTGAATTTCCTGCATGCAAGAAAGATCAGGGCCTCGGTGAATCAAATTGCACATTACAGCGGTTTCGACAGGTTTCTTGATCCAGCAGTGTTCCTTCTCTGCCCTGTGTTGTTCAAAGAGTTAACAACAAGCAACAGCTAAGCCGAAGCTCCCAGATTGAGGCTACCATATTCTCATACCATAGAGACTGTTACAGTAACGTTTAATGTGCGATTTAATTCAAGTAGATTATGGATTTTTCATGACTGAAAAGTTTGTATTTATGCATCAAAAAACATTATTATCTTGGTAAGGAGTTTCTTTCAATAATATTTTTGGCACAAATCGGGTTTTACGTGAAATTTTGATGAGAAATCATAATGCTTAACTTCGCATCATGTCTAGTGCTCCGCTCAATCGCATTTCTGCTACAAGCTTTTTAATGGATCTGCTTTCGTACTTGTTAAATCAATTACTAATTTGAAGTATCATCAGTACTCACAGCATACATTGACTGATTCCTTCGTTTGAATTTCTTTTTTGTCGGTAAAGAACTATTGAGGTCAGACTCTTCATCAAGTATATTATCAGGTTTTCCTGGTACATCTTCAGATACAGTTAAGGATTCTACTTGGGAGACAGAGATTGCTGAGCTATCCTGGGTAGCAACAGATATATCTCTCTCAGAATCCAGTAGAGATTCTTGAGTATTTTGATTATTGAACGAGAGATTAGAGATGACATTCTGAGAATCTGAAACCAGATTTAAAAAGGCATGATAAGTTTTCAGACATTTCAAGGAAAATCATTCAAAAATTAATGGTAACCAAAATAGTGCATTTTTCACACTTACTGCGGATATTAGGTACGTTTATGACATCGTTTGGTGAAAATGAAAGAGAAATCGCATTAAAAAACGATTCTGCGTAAAAATGAGCTACTAAGATACAAATTTATGTTCCCAGATCAAAATCAAGAAAAAAAAAACATGGTAAGTATCTCAAATTGAGGAAATAATTTGATTTGCAAAAATGGTACTTTCAATTCTTATTAAGGAACGTATCTACGTAATAATGAGCTGGTAGGATACGAATTTCTGTTCCCAGACGTTGGAAAGATTTGTTGATCCTCCTTCTGACAGATTCTCTTCTTTTGGTCACTGGTTCATAGGTTGTCCTAAAGATAATGCAACGGTTTGTGTTTTGAGTGACCTGAAGCAGATACTCAAATGCTGTTTTCGCTGTTTTGTAGGTCAAGTCTTTAGCTTTAGAATGAGGCTTTGTAAAACTCAATTGGTTGAAAACTTGCCGAATAATTACCAGAGTTTTTCTTAAGGACTGTTTTCTGGACTCTTCTACTATTTTAAGTTGCTTCTTGAAAGAAACAGAATGAGTCAAAAATAAAGTTTCAATTCAAGGAATTTGACAAAAAAGTTTTCTTACCAAAGCAATGTCTACAACTATAAACAGTCACGTTTATTGTTTTACAAAGTTTTAAATTTCAAACGTTTACTTGTGAGCAGTCACTTTTAAGCATTTATTTAATTTCTTTCAGAAAGTACCCTAAAATTAAGCATGACCTCATTATTCCATCCAAATTATTTTAAATTAAAAAATAAAGAAGTTATGATGGGGCGAGTTTTTCTTTGTCCATTCGAGTACTAGATATGATGAAATCTAACAAGTGAGCCCCCAAACACAGTGCTGCTTGATTTCTTCAAAATCAAAAAACTGAGTCAGTTGGCTAAGGAGTAAACAACAATCTTACCGTCTGAGACTGCTGTTTCAAAAAGTTCAGAATAATCCGTGAGAGAAGTTTGAGAATCTAAAAAACAAAAGAGTGATAAACATCAATTACGAAAATATTTACGTAAACATTGCAAAATACAACACAGTGCCATTTCAATATATTACAAGGCATTTATTGAGAACACATCTCATTTATTAATTTTTTTTCTTTCCAAAATCAATACATGTATCTATTTCAGAAAAAAGTGAACAAGAAAATAACCACTGCTAGAGCAGGTTCAAAACACATAAAAATTTATTTCTACTCACATTATTTCCTATCGGTTCTTGTTATTAGAAGAATCTTTACTAAGTATATCGCTAATTAGAACAAATCAATCACGTACTATGTCTCCAGGTACTCAGGGTTTAAAGAAAGTTGGGAACTCAACAGAATGAATAGACCACTGAAATTTTTTTAATGACTCCATTTACCTCAACTCATTTCTTATCTTTGATAATTATTCAAATTATTTGATACTTACCATCGTATTTTGGCTTTGGTAAACTGATACTCAATGAGGGTGATTCTGGAGAAAAAAGAAAGAAAAAAAGAGGAAAAATTCTATTAAAATTTAGTTTGAATTTGAAGCTTAACCTCAGAGTTCAAGAAAGAGAATAATTTTATTAAATATATATAACCTTATTTTGAGGAAAAGGGACTTCAACGCCCAGAGAAAATGTTTTCAAGGGGAACAATTTAGTTGAATTACTCAAGAATTCAAAAGAAAATTTATTTGAAAGTCAACAAGGATGACTTGTGGGCAGTATAGGTAGTTGTGCCAAAAGAAGGCATAAAGTTGCTTTAGAAGCCTTGAGCATGGAAAATTGGAATTTTAAATATGTAGATTTTTCTCAGAATTTTGTGTCCCAAAATTTTTGTAGAGCACTATTTAATACCCTCATAATAATGTTTAATTCAATTTGAAGTTTTTATGGAAAATTCAGGTTCCCTTTCCCCGATGGTCAGATAATGATTTCTAAAATTTACTTTTATGATTGAATGAATATTCACAAACCAAAAATTGAAGTTTCAGTGACAATTATCTTATTAAGTGGCAGAGGTAGCAAAATACTATAAACTGGTGGTACTTTGACTTCTTTTCATGGCAGATAATTTTTAATTATACAAATTTCTGTGAGATAGTGTAGCAAAGTTTCAAGAGTCATCACACTTAAAATAGAGCTTACCGAAAGTGGGGATAGAGACTTCTGCAGGTACACTTGGTGATTCTGTAAAAATTAAATTATGATTAACACGACAGAAAATTAAAAATTGTGCATCGTAAATATATGGACAAGGCAGTAAAATAGTGTCCAATCCACACTATTTTGCAGGAAAAACAAATCCAAACTATTATGACTTTAATCAAATAGAAAATCAAAATTTTCTTTGTTGGAATGAGGCAAAGATCAGGGCAGATGTTAATTATACCACTGAATTCGAAAATTAGCTTTGTTTTTTCCATTGCGCGAGACTTTCCAGAGAGAGTGCAATTCATTTTCCGAGAACAAGTGCATGCTGAGCAAATAAACAAAAAACATGTCATTTTCGGATTTAGCACGCAAAGATACATTAAAATAAATCTATGAAATTTCTAGGAACTTTTCCTCCTTTTTCTGATAAGAAAGTTTCCTCAGTCAAACCACAAAATCAGCTCATTTGACCGATGTAAATCTTATCTGTTTGTTTTAAATCTAAAAAGGAGGATAAATTTCTTTTTCTATTTATCTGATGGAGAAAAGTTGAATGTAATCTGGCAGTTAAAGCTGGAAATTATCATATTGTTTTTCTATCACTAACTGTTTTCACAGAAAATCAAATTTTTCAAAAAAAGTACTCTTTGGGGCCTGAGAATAGGCACTTTTTGGGAAATTGAACGGAGCAAAACACTGATGGATCATGAAAAAAATCTGGCGTCATTTCCGTTCTCAGCAACCAAACTACACGAAAAAAGCTTAATCAATCTTTCATACAAAACGTTTACTCTCTATTTCAGATTTAGAACAAACAGAAAATATTTACATTGATGAAATGGGCAAATTTTGTCCCTTTAATGAGTCACTCACAATCTCAAATTTTCCTCGTGTCAAAGACTTGGAGTGAAAACACTTAAAATGGAGCTTACCAAAAGTGGGAATAAAGACTTCTGCAGGTACACTTGGTGATTCTGTAAAAATTAAATTACAATAAACTTGACAGAAGATTAAAAATTGTTCATCATAAATATATGGACAAGGCGGTGAAATAGTGTCCGGTCCACACTTTTTTGCGGGGAAAACAAGGCCAAAAAGTTCAAAAAAATTTTCAATTTTTTTACAGTAATTGATTCAGCATGTAACTTGCACACATCTAAGTAAAGCTTCTGAGTAAACCTGACGCAGCCCTCTTTACAGAGATATAAGAAGATGGAGGGAGGAGCTCACCGTCAACTACTGTGCTCAGGGGCCGGTCAACGGAAACCTGCGCCGGTAGTACAAATAGTCCGAATCAAAATAGAACTAAGACTTCATATCTAATAGATAGTCTTCATCAAAATGAAGCTGAAACTTCATAGCTAATATTGATGCTACACACAATAATGATTATTTTTATTGGAGAAAGCCACTTACCAAAGGGTGTTTCGGTCAAAGGGACAAAATTTGGAAAAAAAGAAAAAATTACAGTTCATAAGAGCGATATACAACTATATCTTGAGGACTAACCCCAGAATTTGATGAGTGGATTGGTAGGAGAAAAAAAAAATAGCAACTGTGACAAAGCCAAAAAATTTGAAGGGCAGAGGGGGGCTTTGACAGTCTAAGGGGCCAAGAGCAGGTAAAAACTGACCAAAATACTTTTTTTGCAAGAAAAATTCTTCAACCATTACTGGCAAGAGGAAGGGAGTCTCTAAGCAATAAATCAAGGGTTCAAAAGTTTGCCTTTAACTTTGGAAGCCCTTTTGTTAAACATATTGATTCAGTGCAGTCTGAGCTGTATGCATTTCTTGTAAGCTATTTATCTAGAGTAAGACTGGACTTAGATTATCTTCATCACACTTCGTATTCAACTTTTGAGAGTTAAAACAAACTTGATAACAATCTGCAGACACCCGTACAATGAGATCTCCTTCTGTTTTGCATTTACAGTGCCAATAACCTTTTCAAACTAGCAGCTACTGTTTAAATGAACGGAAAAGATACAAAGTAAATTCAAAAATACTTCATTAGCTGCACAGCTTTCATCAATCTTGCTAAGTAGATGTGTATTTGTAACGCTCCTGGAAAACCGATCTAAGCCCATAAAAAATAAAAAATGTATTATTAATACCCTAGTGCAGAGCAGTATTTTGCATATATTTTGAGACAAAATCCCTCAAAAATGTCCGACCGAACCGAAGTTAAGGGAGTTAAAAGAAACGCACTTTCGAGAAAAAACCATTTACAATTTAATCCACCATGCTTAAAGCATGAAATTGCCTGATAATAATGCAACTTTCTGTCCTATATTGTTCAAAGAGAGAGCTAAGCCGCTTGCTGTTTGTTCTCTGGGAAACTAGAAAGCAAATACAGTTGAAACCTCAAAATCCGATTTTTCTACCAAACCGGATCAATGTTCTGCAGAAACTTTGACTCTATGACCTGAAATTCCTCTCCTGTGGCTAGTCACAGATATCAATGAAATGTTTTCAAAATCAGTTGAGAGATAGTTACAGTAACATAGAAGAGAAAGAATAAATATTAATGTGTATCATACCATCTCCATTCAACAAGACGAGTGGGTCATCTATGCACAATTTAGAACAAAAAGATGTCGTTTGAGGATTAACCACACATAAAGAAGAACTTCTCTGGGGAGTGCTGGTTTGATTATGGCTGGAGTAAGCAGCTGCGGTTCTAACGAAATTGCTTGGAACTGTGAGGTCACCATTGAATTTTTGTAAAACTAGGTCCATTTCTTCTTGGCTGGGTTTAAAAATCCACCTATGGAATAAATCAATCTTAGGAATGCAATTTGGATACGGCTTGGAAACAAGAGGGATGTTGCGGAGAATAGGGCGTATTTCTGCCAAACAGAACTATGTGCATGAAGACATGAGTCCTGACACCCATAAGAATATGTGCAGAACAGGGCTCACGTCATAATGCACATAGTTTTGTTCGATAGAAATACGTCCAATAGTAACTTGTGGCAAGTGGAAATGAGCTGCACAAATGATGCCACATCACAGAATCCAACAGTTTTTGTGCTTTTTTTTAATGTATAGTTAATTTTTGGTTTAAATCTGTGACTAATGTAAAATGTTTACATTAATTTCAGTACCTTAGTTGTGCTTGGATAATTTATTGGACTGGGATCTACAGAATTTGACAGAACGTTGCTGACAGTAGTCAGTGGTCTATTAGGATAAGATGTCATGTAGAAATCTTTAAATAAAAATGAGATGATCTAAAAAAGTAGTGTAGAAGACTATTATGATGAATAAGTTCATGATGAGTTAATGAATTTATGAAGGAAAGATATCGGGAATTTGATTCAAAATTACACAGGTCTGGAATGGGAAAAAATGCTGGACATTTGACAGATGACTCCTGCTTAATTCTAGCGCCGAGTCCAGAGATTACCTTGGTTTCTCTCCCACACTTACTGATTTTCTGGAGAATTGAGATTTTCCTTGAAAAAGCGTTTTGGAGAAAGAAAATTTTTCCAGAGAGTTGGGGCATGATACCAAGATGATTTTTGGACTCGGGAGCCGATGATACGGAGGAACTCATGTACCGCATGCGTTGCTACGAACAGATGCCCAAAAGGGCCATTTTTGGCCCATTCTTACAAAATTTTCCAAGGATAGAATTGTGTGGGTCCTGTTAAATATTGCACCATACCTCCCGATTATGCTAAAATGTTAGGGAAAGACGTTAGGAAAGAGTATTTGAACAATTTTTCCAATTATAAAAATTATCGAACTTACCTCTCAGTTTTACAGGGACCAGGCATGTACTGGTAGGATTTTTCAACACTCAGCAGGTGATTTGTTAAAAACAAAATTGTCAGCCATTCTAAGTCATATTCGAGAACCTTTGCTTTGCTTTCATCACTGGCTATTTCTAATAACTGTTAAAATGAGAAATAAGTAGCATAAGTAGCATCTTCAGTCCTCGGTAAACTGATGCAACTACTTCACTATTATCACACCAATCAACGAACATTTTCATTTGATTACCTCTGAAAAATCCTCAACTAAGCTTAAGCTTTGAATTATTAAGTTTTATTTAAATTATTCTGATTCACCAGTCTATCTATTTCATTCACCTGTATCCTGCAATGGATCAGGGGCAAGATATTTCTACAGGGTTACAGTGAAATTTTGCAGGCATACAATTTCTTGAAAAAACAAAAAAGTTCTTTAAAAAGTTCAAAAAAGCATTTCTGAGGAGAGAAAAAGCTTATCAAAATCCAGCCAATTAGAAGTCAATAGTCTAATTAACATAGCAAGGCAATGCCTGAAGTTCACTTCAGCCAATCAGCAAATCGACGGTGAAACTACCACACCACGTATCTCGTTTGCGGTGTTCAAAAATCTCCGCTCCCATTTTATTTTTGTGAAAGAGAACAAACCAATATCATTCCTAGAAGTTATCACAGATTTTTCTTCACACAGAGAAGAAAAATCATGTAAGTTTTCAAGAAATGATGTTGAGTAGTTTTCCATCTAAAAGATAAAGTATGACAGGAAGTCTGCAACATCGCAAACCGAAATAAGTGGTTAGGGAGTTTCACCGTAAAAATGCTGTTAATCCCATTTAGCTACTTCATCAGAGCCCACTAAAAATATTGTTTCTAACAGGTCTCATTTCTTGAGTTTTTGAGACAGGATTTCTGTGCCGTTCAGGGTTCTGGAAGAGACTGAAAAAATTCCTTGAAGCTTAGTTCACTCCATACTTTCTGAAAATGGAATAGAAAAAGTGAATGCCACTGACCCATTAATTTATTATTTTATTCCCCTCACCGCATTGACTCTTGATAGAATGAGCTTTATTTTGTCTCTTAAGTTTTAGCCTTAAACCTAATTTTCGGAACTGAGCCAATACAAGATATAATAAAAGAAGATCTCATTTTTTAAAGAATAACACGATTGGTTCATGATAAGTATAAAATTATAGAAGCAAGAAGAAAATAGGGTGTCAATTGAGAAGCCAATACGTCTATTGACACATATTAGACGCTACGAATATCGTGAATAAGCCTCAACCAAGTTCTTCAATCTAGAGGAAGATTGATGTAAAAACGTAAACAGTAAATGTAACACTAGATAGAATGGACTGTGCATGTACAAGATTAAAAAGTTGGACAACAAAATACCTGCAAATATCTTTTTCTTTTCAGACATTTATCTAAAGCAAGAAATCGAGTTGATTTTATAGGACCAGGTTCGTCTATATTTTCATCCTTTTTCTCCTAGGAAAACAAAAGAAAAATAAGTTTTAATACTTGACGATGATGCTTCAATACATGATTGTATACTTACTGGCTTGCCCTTCCAGATCTAGAGGGATTTCATATCATCCTCAAAGATTTGGAATCTACTAGGAAATTTGTTTTGTCAACAAATGGTTAGTGTATGTTGGGTAAGCTCTCACTGAGTCTGCATACAACAATATCTTGATGTTTGGACCTGATTTAGCAGAGGAACAGATGATTTCACCCAAAACAACATAACTAATTTCAGAACCCCTATACTGATAGGTGATTTTATATAAGGATCCATGCATTCGGTTTTTATCTCCTGAACTTAATCCATTAGAAGAGTTCTTGCATACGTACACAAGAACTCTTCTGACGTACAATGCTAAAAACTTTGGTTATTGTTCGAGTTATTTTTTGTGCTATAATATCATGGCAGGTGCAGTTTCATCGAAAAGTCTTGTGCTTATCAAAAAGGCACTGATCCTCTGTCTGTGTTGCATTATGACTTCAAAAAAACCTTAATAATGTCTCTGAGGTCATAAATAGATGGAATGACCTAACAAATCTCCAATTGAATCAGTGAGAACGAAAACACACCAACTCGAAAAAATGAAAGTAATCAAGATACATACAAAACTGCACAGTAGGTAAAGAAATTAGTCTAAGAAAAATATTTTTGGTGCCTTAAGGCAAGCACTTAAGGACACTTCAAACGTCCAAGTTGGAACAGATGCGGTACTTCAATGCCCTTTATGAAAATTGACTGTCTTCAATGAAAAGTAAACATTTTCTACTTATCGAGTTGGTGTGTTTTTGTTCTCACTGATTTAATTAGGAGAAGGAGCTATCAACATACTCTTGATGCAGAAAATATGTGACAAAAAATTAAAAACTTACAACATGGGGAACTAATGCCACAAATTTAGTATGTAAATGAGCTGCTAACCAATAGGACGGCTTCAAATGATCCAACAGTTCCCTACATGGCTCACTGCCCAATTTATCATTATCCATGTCATCCCTGAGGGAAGAAAAAATTAATAGATTAGCAAAATTGCAAAAAAACGAGATGCCACTACAAAAATAAGTACACATACTGAAAGTTTTTGCTGGTTTCATTATGAATCTATGTGTTACAACATTATTGTTTATTTGATTTACAGTTGGACAGATTTAACCAGATGCAGTCTACCTATACCAGACATTGCCTAATATCACAGTGTATTTTATTTTTTCCAACAGAAAACTAAGTTTAAGTTAAAACTTTAAAGAACATGAAATGCAATTGAACTGTAAAACCAGTCCAGTTTTACATCGTTAACAAGAGTATTTAGTCATCAAGAGTCAAGAGTTTTTATCATTTTTGTCAACGTTTTCTCAATTAAAATTTTTTTTCTAATATTCTATGTGCCAACTGTAAGTCACACTCTTCTTGTGATCATTGTTTTACAGAGCAGTTCAAATAGACATTGGGTGCTTCATTATAATGGGACAAGTTTAAAAGCTTGTAACGCTTGAAATTATCTATAAATTATATATAAAATTATATATACAAATTCAGAAGAAATTATACATAAAATATTCAAGAATTCGTCATTTCAATGGCAAAACTGTTTCAATACCTGAAAAAAGGTTTATGTCGTAGCAGTTGATTTCTGTTTCCATGCTCCCAAATTCCTTTCGGCCAATCATGAGAGATCATAATATCAAGAGACGAAGAGAGCTGAAAAATTAAAATCGTTCATCAAGAGACTGAGCACAGATTTCTAGAAGGGATTTTAAATGTAATTGGATGAACTTTCTGAGGGGTGACTATTAATGATAGAGGTCAAAATAGGCAAAATTGATTGGTGACAAAAAGTCCTCTATGCTATTGTTATAAAAGGGTGTATCAAATATGCTTCAAAACTGAAAAAAAGGAGACCATATGTCATTTTGATCTCTGTCTGCAGAGATACCATTAAATGATTTCATCTGTTAGCACTCAGCACTTGGAGGATAGTCCTCCCATATCTAAGATTTAGGTTAATTTGACCAGATACAAGAAATCAGTATTAACTTCTGATGATGCAGAAAGTCTACTGAAGCTCTAAAAATGATTTACTTGTAAAGATTTTCAAGGAAATGTTGAAAATAAGACTCACCTGTTTCATTCGAAACACTTCCAAGTTTCTGACATGGTAGACACTTCTTTTGGTTTGCTCTGTATACGGTGGCTTCTCAAAATGACCCTTCATGTAATCTGCACCCTTGGATATCCCAGAAATTCCTCCAATCCTCAATCCACCAAACCTAACAACCCCTGCATACCCTAGATAGAATACGTTAGGCGCAACCCATCCTCCATAAGGTAGCTCTTGCAGGTAATTGGAAGCTTCGTGGTTCCCACCAACAAATATGGTCAGGACAGGAGCTAACTTTTCTCCAGAGTAATACCTAAAAAACAATCAAATCACAATAATATGATTGTAATTTTCAGTTAAATTAGATCAATCTGACTTAAACTAATCTGGATAATTTTTACTTGAACGACCCATAATTTGCCCCCTCTCGGTGAGTGCAAAAACTAATCAGCATAACTTAAATATTTCTTTCTTTATTACACTTTAAAACCGATATGCTCTATTTTCAATTAAACCCTAATATCAGGAGGTTTTTTCCAAGCGGTATTTCATTCTCTCAGCATAGGGTCAAAATCATCCAGGGGCTGACAAGGAGGTAGGAACTTGATGAAAAATCCGAGTGAATTGGTCAATAATTAGGGTGATTTTCGACCAGTTGAAATGGGCCAATTCAAGCATTGATTCAGACCCCTGTTCAGGGTGCAAAGAGTATAGGAAGTGATTTCTTTTTGCCCTATTCCACCCCTCCTGCCCAATAATTGAATCTATGGCCTTGTCTCGACGGCGCAACTGTTGAAGGAAGGAAGTGTCTCAAAAATGTTTCACTTATGAGTGAAACTTTCAAGGTCAGAAACCTGGAACCTCAACAGTTGTTTACCTACGTGTTTTGAATTGATAAACGCTGGTTACACGTGAAGCAGGAGTTCATTACGGGTGTTTTATTTCATTCGGAAAGGTTATTATTTAGAAATATTTGTAGACATTTCAGTTTCAATTTTATATTTTCGTTTGGAGCATATCACTACAGCAGGAAAATAAAATTTTATCGAATATATTTTCTTTTTATCCATATCTGAGTTATGTTATTGTTTTTTGTTTTATACCTGGTCGACATAATGCAAAATATTCACCTCCCGTTCATAATTATCAGTTCAGTTATCTCAATTGACATTGTTTAACCTAGAAACATTAATATTGTTCAAATATTCCCGCCTAAAAGTTCCAGGAACACATGCGTGCGCGTCGAGACAGGGAATTTCGGTTGGTGCAACAAACTCGCTGCAGTTGCACCTAATTCCCTCAACAGTTGCGCCGTCGAGACAAGGCCTTAATTGATAAGACAAGACATGACATGGCCCCATCTTAACCCTAGGTGAAATATAATGCATTTCACTGTCTATTCTTGCTGCTTTAAACTTTCAATAAGCGGCCTACTGATAGAGGACAAGGTTCTCATTCTATATTTTTTTTAGTATTTTGTGAGAATTGATCATGAACTTTTGACAAAAATAGGAGAATGTCTATTAAATTTGAAGGAAGGCTCAGAACTTTGCGTACATACTAATGAGAATATATATTCAGGAGATACCTGCACCCCTAAATTTACATTATACTTTGTAAAGGGTGGTTTGTGCTTGTTCAGGAACTGTTCAAGCACTTATTTTTTTCTCCAAAAACTATGCATGGACTCAAATCATGAAATCAGCAGCTCATAAAGCAAGCCATAAGATGGAAAGAAGTCGAATACTAACTTGTAAAACGAACACATATTCTGATATTTAGCAGGAACAGCCATGCATCGGAGATCTTGTATATTCCGCGTAGCTTGAAAATCACCGCAACAAATTAAAAGATCTATTTTCTTTCCTTCTTTCTCTTCCGTCTTCTTGATATTTTCATACACATTGTCCAGTTCACCGTGCAAACAACCAACTACTGCGACTAACATTATCTTGATTCACTTAGCAAATGGTTCAATCACTCAAGTCAAATGAAGAAAAGCCTTGCAAACTCACTATAGCTAAAGTTAAAGTGAATATGTAATGAATTATATTTCATAAAACTTAAGAAAAATCTGGAGGTAACCGGGTTGTTGTTATTGTGTTTTTGAATAACCTAACCTAAACCAAAAACGCCAGCAAGCAGGTGTGTGGATGGTCCAAAAAATAAAACTTTTTTTGGAAAAAGGAAAACTTGGGAAAACTCGCATTTTCCACGTTTCCTGAGATATAATATTTCGATGCGTGAGTACTCTCCCTTTTATAAGTGCCTGGAAAACTTTGAGCTTGTTGGATTTGTTTTTCTTCCAAGTTTTTTGGTCAACTTTAGAGTCATGAGACCCGACAACCTGCTACCGTTTATACCGCGCATTTTTAAATACCTGATGAGGGTTGCCTCTCAATCAGTTCTGATTTAGATTGTAAGATTGCCAGCTGCTACAATCATGTCAAAAAAGAGAATATTCTCCACTGAATATTTTGCCATTCTCTATTAGGAACCTCAGGAGCAACTGATGCTGCTTACTGGCGTTAAGCATTGTGTCCGACGCATTGAATTCTGCAATAGTTTTTAGTTCCTCCCCGCAGAACGAGGAAAAAAGCACAAACATTTCCGGATGGAATTCTACGGCATACCTACGTCTGTATATTATTTGCCGTGAGAATCGAAGTGCGTCGTCAAGGGGTGTTTACCTACCTCCCGGTCTCTGACCACAGGATTTAGCTATTATTCTTGAGCGCTGTGGAAAGCGGACTGGATTTTCATCAGGGATCAATCACGACTATAAATGAAATTTAGTCAAAAACCATATCCATAAAACTCATGAAAGCATATTAGTGCATCTCATCTGATAAGAGTCGAGATGCCTACCTAATTAAGAAAGTAGATATGTATGTAAATGCTCGAAAATTTCTGGCCTCTGAGATACGATTAATTTATTGGTGCTCGATTGTCCCATAGATATGAAGAAGATAGCTAGCTATGAAAAACAATAGGACTAAATTTGAATTTCTGCGAGGACTGAGAATACATTGGATAGAGGCTCATAAATACGATTTTTCTGTATTTATAGGTAAATTACTTTATGTACACACATGTACATAACATGATTACATGCAGTTGTACGTAAAATTACCAAAGAAAACACATAAAATAGTGGGATGATTGGGTTGAAGAAATTGGTCCGTCACATTTGTATTCGTGCCTTGACTGCGTGCTGACGAAGTACCTTATGTACAGCTCTGATTGGCAGTTCCGTTTCATGTGAAAGTACACCTACCAATCACAGGAAGGATTACAAATTCCCGGCTTCGATGCAGTAAGGAAAAGGAAACGGAACGGTGACGGAACGGATGTGTGAACGTAGTATCTATGTTTCAGTGTTTCTAAGCTGTAAATTTTCATCATGGTGGTAGTGGAACTGTGTAAGTCATGAGTTCATTAATCTCGAGAATGGATTAATCTTTTATTTTAAAAAATGGATCAACTTTCTGAGGTTAGTGCTAATTTCATTTTTATCCCCTAACTTCGCGCGGCTGTAAATTCTGCGTGCTTTTGTCAATGCAATCGTTTCCTAACCGCAAATCGTGTTTCGTTCGGGAATGCAGCGATGATCCCGAGGTATCCTATCTTCAAGATGGTCGTTTAAAGCCTGTGTGCGGCACACGTGGTAAAATTACCAAATATACGACTCATATCTCTTTTGTTTGATCACACCACGAATGAACTGCTCAAAACAGCCCATTTCAAAACTCCCAATGTCATTGTGATGAGATTTACATTTTGTAAGGTCTTTGACCTAGGTGACTTGCCTAGGACAAGGCCTAAAATTGTATTTAAACACTTTAATTTAATCTCCTAAGCTTTTACTCCTCAAGTCATCTATTCTCATGCTCATCTCAACATATTTATAACGATCATGGAACTCAAATCATTCTTCCAATCATAGAAAAGCCTGCTGCACTTTTTGCCTAGTCATGTATCATCTCAGCGCTTTTTGAAGCTGTTCATTTTCCACCTACTTTTACACTCAGTTATTTTTTAGATCAATTTTCAATCCTATTTAGCAGCTATCACTTTTTGCTAAGCCACCAGCTTTCACAGTCATTGATTTCTTTCCAATCATTGCTTGGTTCATATCATTCCATAAAAGTTTCAGATCTGAGCTGTTTTTCAGCACTATCTTTAAACTAGATCTACTTATTCTTGTTTTCCTACTGCGTTTTCTATATGGTTTTCTTTGTGGAAGCATCCAATGTACTTTTTACATCAAAAAGTTGCCCAATTTTTCTACTGATTTACCTCTGTTGTAGTGGGATGAAACTGGCGGAATTCTAGCACCATTCAATACGTACTCAAAGTAATTTGTTTATTTGCTGTACATGCGCAGGATGAATGTGGAAGAAATTTTAAATGTATTTAAGGCTATACAACTTGTTTGCCCTGTACTTAATCATCACTTACTTGCAGTGCTTAGATTAAAACTCTAATCATTGGAGCTATCACCCTCTACTCTCAATACTTTCCATGACAATTCGAACAAAATTTATTTCCTTTTTTTTCATTCTTCTTGACTTTGGTCACTTTAGCTAGCTGGTTTTCTAATCCTTAACCCTGAATTTCAATCCGCCAACTCTTATCATTACATTTAATCTGACATCTGCTTTTCACCCCCTCCTTATCAATTCCTTAAGGAAAAGAGGAGGTAAACATCTTGGCCACCCACGGTGTAGTGGTTGTGCGCTGAATCTATGGTCAGGAGGTCCCGGGTTCAATTCTTGGCCAAGCAACCTGAGCTTGATTCTCTCCAACAATAGTTGCTTGTGGCCGGTTGTTCGGAAGGACCAGAGGGGAGAGGGGCTCGGACGGATAAAGCATATGATTCCCACTTGTGTGGCACTTGAAGCATTTTGAAAAGAAGAAGTTTTGTCTCCCTCTCCCCTCCTCAAGGTTGAAATTAATGAGGAATAATTGCTGAAAATTTAGGTAATATTTTGGAAAATAATGCTTCATTTGTTTTACCTTAGCCGTGGGTTTCATCAATTGGGATCGACTTGAATCATCAATCTCTATGAAACCAAAATTCATTTTTCCTTTTGTACATGTACTTAGTAGTCGCATGAAGGAGATTTTCATACTTTCACAATTGAATGCCATTATACTTGATTAATTTTGTGCTAGAGTAGGTATCTTGCAAATTGGGTCGCATTGAAGATCTCTCAGTATCGTATCAATTAAGTACGTGAGTTTTTTCTCTTAAGCTTCCAATCAGCTACTTAGGTAGATCAGCTAATCAGTAACTTTCCTCCGCATAAATATTCTTATTCATCTCTATTGAGCAGAGATATTTTTGATGAGGCTTTTTTCGTTGATATCTCAGATAACCATCATTACTAGTCTACAGGTGAGGGTTCGCAGGAAGAATTGGTTCCTATAAAATTTTTATTCATGATTAGGATCATCATCTTAAGAATCCTTCAAGAATTGATTTTTTTAATGGAAACTATTATATTAGAACTACTTTCGCTCTGGTATAACTGTTTTACTTTAAGTAAAAACCCCTTTCTTTCCAATTTTTTTCTATGTTAAGCATAGGCTAATTTCCTACACTCACAGTTCACCATGTAATCCCGGCCCAAGGGCACGATTTTTTCAACAATACAATGAGTGTCTAATGCTAATTGTGTAGAACTGGTTAATGGTAAAGCAAACATTATTTCCCCCTTTTTTTGTTTATTGGTAGGTATTTTTACATAAATTATCTATCATATGTGATGACCCCAGGAATGTAAGGTTTCTTACAAACCTCATGGCATAATCAGAATTAATGGAATTGTTTAGTTTTAACATCAACTAATACAGTTAAGTATATCTTCCTGAAAGTAATTGATTAACTCATTGCAATTACTTGCACGTCTGAGTATTTACGGACCATCTCTATTTTCCATGAAGCATCTTTAAGATTTCTCGTTCATTCCTATTAAATCCTTAAAAACTGTTTCTTAAAATTCTTCTGTTTTACTTATGCAACCAGAAGAATACACAGGCTAACCGCTAACCCCATTCCTGTAATTACAAGGAGCAGTAGCGACCCTGTCAAGCCTATGAGATCCTCTTACAATCAAGAGGGAGCTATGACTGTAACTTAGATGCAGACTTTCAGCAACGGCGTTATTCTACGATATCTCCACGAAAACTTAATTGTATCTTACGTATCATGTCTCTGCATTCCTAGGTCCAAGATGTAAGCATGAGGAGCATACTTACTTTCAAATTTGTGCCTCATACTCCTGAGCCCACATTCATATGACCCAAAATTTTTATGTGTTGCAATTTTCCTCAAACACTGTTTATTCTCAATGTCCTATCTTTCATCAGTTTTCATTGAACTCTCAATTATTAATTTGTTTCTCAATGTCATCATGAATTTAATTTTTTTTTCATTTTCCAGGAGTTGGAGTTCCTTGATCTGTCAGACTTGGGTGATAAAGAACGACACCATGTCCAGTCTGTGCTCTACTCAAGGAACCCAAATGCAGCATACCCTCAGCTGCCTTGGCAAGTCTCCTTGCCTGTCAATATTGATCCGTATCAGGAGTCTGTTGATGAGGTCCAGTGGAACCACAAACAGCAGTATGGTCAGTCTCCTTTTGTATGCTTTGTTTCTTTTGTATTATAATTTGCTTTTACTGAAAATTTTAGAAAATGTAGTTCTCATTGCTCCGTTTTTTTTTTTCCATCGTCTATCAGCAGAGTGATGAAAATGTTCTCAGGATACCCAAAATTGTTTTCTTTTATTTGAGGAGACAGGCTGTCCAAAATGCACCGGGACTAGCTCTGTAATTCGAAAACCACGCTAGCTAGAGGCTTTTTGATTTCATTCTGAAGATCAACTCAGATGTTATTGATCATGACCAAGAATAATCAATTTGGTAAAAAATTGGGAAATTTAAAACAGTTTAAGCAGAAAAAAAAAGGAAACCCCTACTGATTTTAACTGGTGAGTATATTTTCTCATGACATCTCTGAAATTGATGTAATTTGCACAGTGTTTAGTAAAAAAATCAAGAGAAACTGAAGGTTACGTAGCAATACCGTCCAAGTAGAACACTGAAACAACTGAACACGACTGAAAATGTAAGAGTAAGTCTGATCATGTTGAACTGAATCATTGGCCGCCCATCTGATTCCACCCTGTATGCTAACTGATGAAATCTCACATTGCGTGGGAGATTTATGCAGCAGCCTCTAAGCGATTATAGTTTTGGTTTTGTTTTTGCTAATATTCATATACTATGGTATGAAAGAGACACAGGTTGGCAAGAGAGCATGAAAAAGTGAATAAGTGGCTGATGTCTTGAGAAAGAAGAAAATTAGCTCCAGGATTCGGAGAGAAGTGAGGACAAATCATGACAGACAAGGTCAGGAAAAATGCTCCATAAACAGCTCTCAATTTTTTCACTCCAACTGTTAGAACTTTATAATTATTTGACTGAATGTGTAGACCCTGGTTTCAACCAATGGCTTTTAAGTTGGCCTCTACAATGCGACCAAGATTAAGTCTTAGTTTTTGAACTACACAGCTAGTAGGGATACTTTTTGGATAGGCCATGTCTTTTGGTTTACAATTTACCAAGTGACATTATTTAGTGTCCCACAAGCAGCTGCTGGTGAGGAAGGGCATGATACAAAATAACATTAAAATACATCCCAGGCATAGAAATTACAAGTGTTTAATTGGCCACTGCTGCTGAAACTGGACAATATCACATTTTGAACAAATAATCTTTCTTATTTAGATTCGATTTTTATGGAGAGCATTTTAATAAAAATGACTTCTGTTACTATATGTTGCCTAATGCAGGAACATAATACAAAATGTTTTGTGACTGTTTACTACAACGAAGTTGATTGATGTGTTATAGAACCTGATAATTCTGGAGAGATGATAAATTATGAGGCTGAATCTTGTGACATGGGCATTGAAGAAGGATGCGAAACTGTTGAGCAGCCAGTTGACTATCAGTCAGCGTCCAACATGATCCCTGCAGCATCTGTTATCATGGTGCAGAATTACTCGCCAGGTATTATTTTGAAACGCTCAACTTCTACTTACTTGCAGGCTAGTAGTTGTATTGAATTGTTTCTTTATGAAACATGCCATTTCCTTTTTCCTAAAGCTCTCCTCTCAACTTTTTCAATGAACCTGACTTATCCTCTCGGAGAAAAATTATTTTAGGTCCTAAATGCGTCCATACTGTGGAAATAAAAACTCCAAATTATGGGTACTGTACAAGATAAGTCAAAAAATTGTTTTCAGGAAAGTTGAGGTGGGAAGTTAATGAACCCTAAAATTCTTTTGAGAAAAATCATTGCTTTTATAAGACAATTTAGTCAAAGAAAAGATAATTGAGGAATGAATAATTAGAGTCCTCATTATTTTTAGGTTAATAAATGTGAACTAAAATATTCCTGTGAAATTAACTTGCAGAAGTGCAGACAAAATTTGTCCGTTCAATTAATGGAGGATTTGCTTTCGAATGAATCTAGTTTTCATGTAATTTTTTAAGAATATAAAAAGTATGTGCTTTCTGAAAACTGTCTGATAGGTCAGTACACTTAAACTTGAGCATTAAGCCCAAAGTGCTTGTTGTCTAATCATGCAGACATTCTTCAGCTTTCCTGGAAAAGGAAATCCTATATATTAAAATGCAAAGTTCCGAATCTTGGGGCATTAACTTTGAGAGAACCACCGGACCGATTTGCGTGATCTTTTTTTTAAATGAAAGCCCCTGAGCTGTAGATTTGCAGGCTGTGATCCTTTTTTCGATTTTCTCAAATTTTCTCCAATAATTTTCTCAAATTTTCTTCGATGCATTAAAACGGAGGTCCGAATCTTTGGACGTTAACTTTGAGAGAACCACCGGACCGATTTGCATGGGGTTTTTTTTAAATGAAAGCCTGTGATCTGTAAATTTGCAGACTGTGATCGCTTTTTCGATTTTATCAAATTGTCTTACTTTTATCGACGAGTGAAGTTTAGCTGGGCTCAAATTTTCTCCCATTTATTCAGACTAACGTCCGCATTTTGGGACATTAACTTTGAGAGAACCACCGGACCGATTTGCATGGGGTTTTTTTTAAATGAAAGCTTCTGATCTGTAGATTTGCAGGCTGTAATTGTTTTTTCGATTTTCTCAAATTTTCTTACTTTTTTCGACGAGTAAAGTTCAGCTGTTTCGAGCGGTCATCTGGCCGCTACCTGCTTGCCCGTCCCTAGATACCCCCCCTAGGGTCTCAGCCACCCCTTCCACCACGTTCTTTCGGCTATCTCCGTTTTCTTTCGTATAGCTTTCCTCCCACCAACCTCAAAGAAGGTTTGGGTCGCATTGTCGTTCGTCACTCACCACCCACATTCCGTCGCAATCTCTCGGCTACTCCGCTTCACCACTTCTTGATAGGCATCCTGGCGGTTTGACTGACCCTGACTTATTAACTGCAGCGGTGCGCACACGTATTGCTAACAACATGTATTGTTATGGACATTTCATTCTTATTTGTTCTTTTCTCTTTCCAACTTTGTCTCAAATTTGCTTGATACTTCGTTTCTTCCTCTCTCTTTATTTTGTTGGTCGGTCGACTACGTTGATCGGCTTTTTGCTATTGAAAGCACATTAAGACTTCATTGATTTTCAATATCATCATTTGATCTTCCGGAATTGCTTCCAATTAACCTGAATCTTCAAGGGTCGGAGCCTGACTCTCCTCCCCCTAAAACTATGATTCCATGATTTCTGCCGATAACCCAGAGCAACATCAAATTATTTCTGAAATAATTAGTCTCATCCAAAATCCATCCTACACGTGTAATGCGATTTTCATTGATGGTCCAGGAGGATCGGGAAAAACTTTCGTTTAAGAATGTCTTACTGCGTATTGTACAAAGGAAAACTTAGACGTCATTTCCTTTGCTTGGAGGTATCGCCGCATCGTTGCTGCCTAACGGTCGGTCGGTTCATAGCAAATTCAAAATTCCTTCGGTTCTGAATGAAAATTCTGTGTCGAGTCTGACTGTTAGCTCAAGAGAGGAGACTATTTGGAAAACAACGATCATTTTTTGGGGTGAAGCTCCCATGGTTATCACGCATGCTCAGGCATGCATCGACCGACTTCTTAGAGAATGGGTAATGATATCCCTTTTCGAGGAAAAATTGTCGTCTAGGGTGGTGATTTTAGACAGGTTTTACCCGTTGTTCCGCATGCTTCTCGCCAAACATTGGTGCAAAATGCAATCAAATTCTCACCACTTTGACCTCTTTTCAAAATCAGAAAACTTACTCAAAATATGAGAACTTTGCAAGACGAAGCGGAGTTTGCAAAATTTTAACTCGAAATAGGTGAAAGTGTTTACCTTTCTGCGAAAAAAGGCCATGCCGGAATTCATTGATTTACCGACAAGCAGTATTACTGAAACTGATATTATTACTGAATTTTATGGAAAAGATAGCTTCCTCATGTTCGAACGTAGATTTCACAAACTGCGCAATTCTGGCCCCTAAAAATAAGCATTGCAATGAAATCAACGACAAGGTTGTTGAAGTTCTTTCAGGTGTCTCTCAAATGTACTTCAGTGTTAACAGGCTCATTGTAGAGGAAGAGGGAGAGGCTCTCAATTTTCCCCTCGACTTCTTGGACAGTCTTAATCTTAGTGGCTTACCACCGCATAAACTCACACTTTTGGAGGGGGTTTTTGTCATGCTTTTAAGAAACCTCAACGTTTCTAAAGATTTATCGAATGGTACCCGATTGATCGTCTGGAAACGTTACGAAAATTGTCTTGATTTGCAGGTCATTTCCGGCGAGAAGGCCGGTGAAAGAATTTCACTGCCAAGAATTGATTTGTCACCTGCAGACTCCTCTCTCCCTTTCTCTTTTAAGAGGCGACAATTTCCAATTCGCATTGCGTTCTGCATGACCATCATCAAAGCTAAGGGTCAAACACTGAAGCGAGTCGACATTTATTTACCCTAAACAGTTTTTGGCCATGGTCAACTATATGTTGCACTCTCACGAGCTACATCGTACACAAATTTTGAAGTCCAAATTCTTCCCAAAGGCAACCGTACAAAAAACATCGTGCACAAAGAGGTGCTTCGATCTTTCCCGAATTCGATAAATCCCAAAAGCCTCATAGTCATTAGAAAATTATCAAAAAATAAAAATAAAAAAAAATTAAAAAATAACACAAAAAAAAAGAAAAACTAATAATGCGAGCTTTTTATAACATTTTTCGGTAGAATGGCGGTCTCCACCCTGTAACGCAGAGAGGCAGTTAAATTCCTTGATCTTCTGCCGCAGAATCATCATTATTATTAAATAGATTCAACTAATCGCTCCGATTCCAAATAAGCTACTGCACCACCATTGCTAGCTGTGGAGGGCGCCCGTAGGGCGCCCGGAGCAGCTAGTCTCATTTAATGTAGTAGATCTCAAGGTTCCTAAGTTTCTTGTCAGATCCAAGGATTTTTTTATAATTACTAACAACCACATCAAATAATACAATGGTTTTTTTTTATTAAAAAAAAATCCTCTCTTTTTACAAGAGGTTGATGGAAATCTTTAAGTAGGTACACAAAAATCATGAAATTTCTGATCCGATTCTCTGATTTCATGAGATTTCTGATCTTAAATCCCGTTGTGTAGTTCTATATAATTGTTACTTGGGCACCCCCAAATGCTCATTCAAAATGTATACTTTTCTACCTCAACCCTGCCTGGTTTTTTTTCTCTGAAGTTTAGCCCTTACCACTCATCAATTAAATTCACCTAACCTCTCCCCCAGATCATATTTAAAAGGGCAGTTTGGAGGGCCGACAACACTGAAAACGCAAGAGAGGTTAGGCGCAATTTAGCGCAAAACAGCGCGATGACGCAATTGTTGACAGCTGTGGACGTAGTTCTCCAAACTTCCGATAGATCGCTGCACAAGACAGAGGCGGCGAACTACGTCCGACACATGAGCTTACGCAAGGTGAACAGGTTTGTCGGATCAGGTCTGACACATGATCGGAACGGGAAAATAAAAATGTCGGACCACATCCGACACATGAGTGGTAAGGGTTAAGCACCTTGTTGTCCACACTTCTGTTATCCCCTACGAATGTAATTTTGTAGCTGAAAATAAGTAGATCATGGGCAAAGTACACCAGTTCAAGGCCACAAAGAGACTGAGCTGCCCCGCAAACCTTTTATAACATCCGCAAATTTCATCATTACGTTAAGTCTCAAACGAGGTCCATATGTAGGATTGTGTTGGATAGTACAAAATTCAAATACGATGGAAGGAAAAGCTGAAAAGACAAAATTAACTAATGGTAAAATTGTCCAAAAAGATTCCATAACTTGATTATCTAAGCCATATCACTTGACTAAAGATTCAAATGTTAGGCAGTCAATCGATGACCTTCAAAAAATGCAAAATAATTCATTTCCTTTTAGTAAAGCCTAATATTTTCTCCTCTCCTCTTCTGTTTTCAGGCATCATTAACCATGTGTACAGCTCAGTGACCCAAACACCAATGTATTCGACACCCTCAAATGAAATCAATGGAAGCTCTCAGAAACCGCGACGTACTCTAAACAATAAAATGGGTATCAAAGGAATGCCAAAAATGGGTATCAGACATCGACAGCCTAACGTTGATGCAGTGGATGTTATGCCGCATCAACCTCCACCGCAAAATCCGCCATATTTCTACCCGTATCAGTATCCATACTTTCCTGGCCCTCCGAATCAGCTCCCTGGAGCTCCAATGAGCACCGCCCAACACGCAACCGGCAGTCCCTTGTACTTACCTACAGTGGTTAATTCATATCCACCCATGTACTATCAACCAGCCTATTGCTCACCACCCCTCCCAATCAATCAACATACCCATGAGCCGTTGGAAATGTCTCCTGCTGATAATATTTTAGTGAAGTCTGATTATTTGGAAGAAGTTCCAGTCGTGTCTGTAGGAAATGCTGTGCCTTATAACAATAATGATAACAATAATCATATTGAAGATAATACTAATATTAGTTGTAATGTAAATAGTAGTTTAAATTCTAGCAGTAACCTTAATAACAATAATAACTACAGTTTCACTAGCATCAAAGATGACGTAGTCAAAAGTAGTGAAATTTCTGATGATCCCTCAGAAATTGCTTTGTCAGAGGCTGTGAATGATGAGAAATCCAATAGTGTTAGTAGCTGCAAATCGATCGTCCAAAGAAGTGAAACTACCTTCCAGCCTGACTCATCTAGAGTTAATGTATCAGTCTCGACAAATTCAGCTGAGCCCATTTTAAAGGTTTCGGACAGTAGGGTAAGTGTTAGTCAAACCATTACCAGCGTTAAAAACTCTGTCAGTAATATTGCAGACATTGGTGTCAAATCATCCCATTCATTGCCTGCACACACTGCTCAACCAGCAGTTACTAATAAAACAGACTCAGGAAGTGCTGTCGGTAAACCTAGTAGTAGTCACTCCCCAATCTCAAGTAGTTGCTCCACAAGCAAAAGCAGTATCACCATGTCCAGTGATACAAACGACAGTAATGTGAAGAGTATAAGCAAGGCAAAAGAAGCTGCACCTGCAAGTGTTACCACCAATTCTTCAAAATCTGAAAAGTCTGATATCTTGACTCCTATTATGAACGGACCCCCAGCTGAAGCAGCAGCTCCAGCAAGGCGATCATGGGCAGCATTGGTTGCAGGCGGCACAAAGAAACCGATATCCTCTCCAACCGTGTTTTCTGTAAATGTTGAAAATCCTACCCAAGTTGATACGTCACATGTTGCCTCTCATCCAAAACTTGGCAGTTCAGACACGACTGCGTCAATGAAAAGTAAACTTACACAGCCTTCGCCACGGCCTCAACCACCGCGAAGTGCAGCAAAGCATCGTCCTGGGGCGCCCACTAAGTCACAGAAAAGCGAATCTGCTAGCTCAAGCGATGTTTATCTTCAGAAAATTGCTGGTGAGTTTTCATTGTATTTTTATATCTCTTATTTATTTGAGCTATTATAAGATCGATTTTATTTATGAATCCTTTAAATTTAAAATTTAGTCACAGAAAAACCAGTTCAAATATTTGTAGGAACCTTTTTCAATTCTGTTTTTAAAGTCTACAAATATTTGTTTGAAACCAACATGAGTTCAACACAATAATCCGTAATGAAAATCGGAAAAACCAAGAAAATTTTGTTCATGTATCGTTCAACTTATCGAATATCTCAAAAATTGGTTAATTTTCAATCATGGAACGACCTAATTATTCTTTGTTATTTTATTATGAGTTTATTTTGTGATGCTTTCATTCCCTACATTTTAGTTTTTGAAGGTCTATCTCAGTTTTTTGTTTAATTTCCTTGTTATTTTTATGCTTATATTTTAAGAGCTTTTATCTACCTACAAGTTGGATCATAAAGTTGTAAACCTTCTTCCCAGAGGATTGAACAATCGAAGCAGCTACTGTTACATCAACGCAACTCTTCAAGCTCTTCTCGCTTGCCCTCCCCTGTACAATTTACTGAAGGCAATATCTTCAGTACTCGGAGATTCAAAACAGAATCCTACAGAATCTTCAATACCATTTATCAGTAGTTTGTAAGTACCTTGCTTCTCTCTTTCTCCCACTCCCTTCCCCCCTTTTTCCTCTCCTCATCTTTCAAGTCTTGAATTGGATTAGATATTTTAGTCAGTTCAAGAATTATAGATCGTATTCGATACATCAAACGAGTGAGATTTTATCGATATCGATTGGTTCAAAACATAAACATAGCCTCAAAAGTAAATTCAGAAATCTGAGATAACGGGTCTTTTGTAACAGATTTTTTATTCTTTTGAGTATCAAATGCCAACACAAAGTGACATTGTCAGGAACTTTCTCATTTTCAGCCTTTCCAACTTAAATCCTTACAATTTGGTTTGAGGTTATGTTCTATTGTTTTGAACCAAACGATCCATCGAACCGTTATCGAATACGGTCTATTTAACTGTTATATCATGTCTAAGCAAGAATAAAAAACTCTAAAACCTGTTAAGCTTATTTAATAATCGGTCTTGAAGTTCAAAAGGTCAAGGAATTTGAATACATTTGTAAGGAATCAATTAGTCAAGACACTTGACCAGAATCATTTGGCTTCAGTCAAGTGGTATTTTGAAAATTGCAAAATTGGTGGTCTTCATTTGTAAAGTTCAAGAATTTGGTATATAAGATTGTACGGCATGCATGTGTGAAAATTTTGAAGACAGCAAGGGGAGTCGGGGGAAAATTTTCAGGCTATGGAGTATTGTGGAACTCTTTCTAGTATTAAATCTTTTTTTTTCCTCCCATCGAAATGAATTGTAAGCATGAAATTCACCACATCTAGCCCTAAAAAATCAGTATATGGAGGAACAGCATATCTGCCATTGATAAGAAATTGATTCACTTTGTAGGAACTAATAAGTCCTTATGAATGATCAGAGCTTTTATACCGGAGGCAGGTTTAGCTTTCTTCTATGAATGCAAAGAAATTTAGTAGCTCTTAGCTCTCAAATTTTAGATCCGAGATTTGTAACTTGTTCCCTCAATTTCCTGCCAGAGTTGTATTATTGTTGAGAAATTTACGATTTTTCTTGAAACCTCAGCCCTTAGAAGAGTTTGTGGTTTGGATGCAAGGGTATAGCATGATGGGAGCAGTGGCGTGGCGTGAATTGCGATACATCGATTTTTATACCATTTAAACCTATGGTAAAGAATCGATTATTAAGGTGTTCGCTGCGAACACCCTGTTTATCGATCCTTTTCCATAGGTTTAAGTGGCATAACAATCGATATATCGCAAAGCACGCCACGCCGCCGGATGGGAGAGCATGTAATCGGAGAAAGTTCCCATTGTGTTTTTGTCGTAGTTAATTGTACCTATTATATTATTTTCTATGTACATATGCATAGAAAGATATTCATACTAAATTTTCTTGGAATGCATTGCTATTGCATTAAATCTAATAATTTATTGTTGTTTGTTTACAGAGTTAGTTTCGTCGATGAGTTTTCACCTTTACCAAATAGTGTCACACCTCGTAAGCAAAAGCCCTCTCCTCCCTCAGTTCAGAAACATAACAAAAATCATCCAGTTGAATCAGATCCCAAAACTGATCCAGCATTTGAACCTAGTTTTATTTATAAAATGTTAGCCTCCTTAAACAGTGACTCTGGTGGTTCATTCAATGTTGAAGGTCGGCAGGAAGATGCTGAAGAATTTCTGTCTTGTCTTCTTAATGGACTCAATGATGAAATGGTCGAGGTATGTCTTCATTTTGTATATTTTTCAAACCTTTATTTTTCAAATCAACTGTTAAACCATAGAGATAAAAAAGAGGTGGTTGCAATGAAAAATTTGTTCACCCTGTGATGCACGTGGGCCTAACATGTTAATATTCCAGCAAAACCGGAAATTCGAAGTATGGAAAACGGACTATAATGTCTGTTTTTTTGTTTAGTTCCACTGAAGGATAATTTCAAACCCTTACTATAGAATGACTTTTTCCCATAAACTACACCCTTTTCAAGAAATTCGATGACAAAAAGCGTCTGCTTTCATGAAAGCCAAGGGGCTTGAAATGTGACCTCTTTCTTTTTTTTTTATGCTGTCAAACCCCTACTAGTGAGCCAGTCATTGGAACTGAGTCAGCCTGACAAGAAAAGACAAAGCTCCATCTCAACTATGCTGTATATTGAATTTCAATGTCCTGTTGTGCTTACGTAAATTTCATCAATCGACCCACAGAGAATATTGACTAGAAATAATGCTGAGAATGACTTGCTCTTGTATTTATTTTCTAACCTATGTTCCACCAGAGATCCTGCAGAGCAGATGCAGTTGCAAATGTTTGAAGGTTAGAATTAGGTTAGAAGTATGAGAGGAATTTTTCCATTACTCCTGTAATGAATATCATTTTATGGTGACCTGTCAGCTGATTGTTGCAATACATGTCAGTACGTCAAGACATCAAAAATCAATAAATTATATGACACAGATAGGGCCATGTTTTGTCTTATTTTGCTCCCATAGCAAGGAATAGCTCCCCAGGATTAGCAAAATGATGAGGTGGATTACTGAGTTCCTGAAAGGTTTGTTGTGTCCATACAGAGTCTACTGACCTTTCCATAAATATCATCAACATAAATTTAGTTCGGTTTCATCATAATTTTGAGTATTTGCAACTGTAACTGATCATATATTTTGCGAACAAAAAGTTTCACATTTTCTCTGAAAATAACTTTTATCAAGTACATATTTTCACTTGTCGGCTCATTTGATAATTTTGATGCTTTCAAACTCATTTTGAGTCTGATCAAAATTTGCAACCATAACTTCATTAATGTTTTCATCCACTTTTTCTTCCCCAGCTTCAAAAATATTGCGAAGATTCCATCAAAAGTACTTTAAGCAATGGTGATATTTTGGTAAATGGTGACGCATCTCAACAGAATGATCATGGCGCGGAGTGGCAAGTAAGTACAGTTAATTTTCATCAATCCACCTGTAGTCTGCAAAATTGATTTTGCCGCAGAATTCATTTAGTGAACGACAAGAATTTTCATATCTTAGGAGCACTTTCTTTCGCAGGTAGATCGTTGAGTCCACGGTGGAGATATTTTAATTCTACTGCAAGAAGTTGCTTCAAAATAGACCAACAGCAGGCAACTGCTGAAGCAGCTATGCTAAAATAGGAGAAAAAATTTCAAAAGAAAGTACGTTCGTAGCTCAGTTATTTGTACTCCACTTGTGTGTTGGCTTAGAATTCAAACTCTATCTCAAAAGGAATAGATTCAGAAGAGAGTCAATATTGCTTAAATGTACTAGATCTGTTGTAAACTTCAGTCTCAGCAGAAAGAAGTTTATCCTCCAAAGGAAAACGCCAAAAAGTAACGATGAGTGCGTCGAAGAATTCTCAAATGAATTCCCCAATTTCATAGTCAGCATAAACAATTTTTGTATTTTTGAGTTTCCTGCCTCATGAAATATACTCTACTAAAAACATAATTTGAAACAGAGTCTCTTTATACTGAGAGTTGTGCCATCTAGGGTCCTGGATGCCGCAAACAGGCTGAAAGATTTTACAATTTGTAAATTTTTTTTATAATCATTGGTCAACACGTTCCTGGATTCCTTTCCTTCCTACATTTCCTCCTCACTCTGTTTTCCCCTGATCTAGTCCAGTTTATAGGCTCAGCAACCTATGAAAGTTCACTTTTTTTGCCGGTTTGTAACATCCTTGAAGCCTTAAAGTCTATTTTTGACCTATAAATGAGGTTCCTTTCCCTGAGGAAAGTCATAATTGTAGATCTTAGAACTTGTTTTAGATTAATAGTCAATTTCATTATTGTTAACTTCAATTTCAGCGAGTCAAGGCCAAAAACAAATCCGCTATCGTCCGTGATGCAAATGTAGAGAGAACTCCATTATCAGATATCTTCAGAGGAAAATTAAAATCTCAAGTTTCAAGGTTAGGTGGAGTCACTTCATGTAACATTCAGCCTTTCTTCACCCTCCAATTGGATATTGAGGTAAGGCATAGTTCTACTGCCCTCCATCATAATAAGTCTTCAGTCAAATTGTATGAATCTCTCATTCTTTTTCAAAATTCAGAATGCTCCCTCCGAACAAAAAATTCTGATAATCTGGTTCTGTAGCTGACGCCGGACTCCTTGTCACATTTATTTTGGTAAGTAAAGCAGCATTTTCAGCAGCCCTGTATAGAAAATTTATTGCCAGCTTTCCTTCACAGAGCTGTGGCTCATTGGCGGCATTTCAGCTTCATAGTCACACAGTGACGAGTCCAAGTCCTTGCGAAAAGACTTTTTTATAGCCCATGTAACTACTCCTCATTTTCCAGCCAGCAACACATCTCAAATCACACTTTATACACTGGAATCAGGGTTTACTTCAATATGCTATTATTGTCAATTACAAATCCATCAAAAACTGCTGTAATTACAGATTTATTGTCAAGTTCAGTAAACTGCCCATCAGGTTGCCCAGCGGAATGCTGTTGAACTTCTGCTGGGCAACCTACTTAGTGCAGTGAGTGACTTGTGGTTGCTCAGCAATCCATTGAGTTATGAGTGCTGCTGAGAAACATTAATTTCTGCTACCGCAGGCTTGTGCACCGGCGAAAAATCAGATTTGTGTCATCCCTCAAAACCGGAATCTTCAGAATTGTTCTCTCTGTTCCGTGAATGCATCGAGACAAAGAAAAGTCGGATTAAAAATGAATTCATCCTAGAAATCGATGAAAAAAGTTTAAGCCTGATTGCAGGCGGGAACTTGGGAGGTTTCTCCTGCATGTGCATTTTTTTATTGCTTTGCATCTTTTTGATTTTTGAAGCCCAGAGGAAAATGAAAAGAAACGTAATAATATTGACACTGAGAAATAATAAGGAAGCGAGCTGGAAAGTCCTGATTGCAAAAAGTGTGGTATCTAGATTTTTCATCATTAAACAAATGTGACGATACCTTTCTGGTGGGAGTGAGAGAACGATAAATGCTCGCTTATCTCTGTTGAAATGTATTATTTTTTTATTTATCTACATCATAATATACCTTTGTAGCACTTTTCTAATGAAGATTTGTGTTTTTCAGAAAGCTAAGTCTGTATCAGAAGCACTTGGTATGCTAGTGGACCGTGATCAGTTGGAAGGTGTGACTTGTTCAAAAACAAATCAAGAAGTGGAAGCATGGCAAAAAATGACCTTAGAAGAATTACCTTGTGTTCTTCTACTTCATCTTAAGTGCTTTGATTTCAAGCAACAGGCTCAATCTTGTGCTAAGATTATCAAAAACATTGATTGTCCAATAGACTTGGAGCTGAACAGTAGTAAGTACTTTTACCAGTATGATGAAATGTTTTTATTCTAAAAATGAAAAGTTTTGCTGAGATTCGTATGGTTCTCTAAAGCATTTGTATTTGTTTTTTCTTCCCTGTCATTGCAAGCTAACCCAGCATGACATTGATTGGTAAATCTGTATTTTAGCAATCTTATCTATCTTCTTTTGATCAAGGTTTTTCAGCAGTTTTTCACTAATTCAGGCTTTCTGAAGCTGCTTTGCTCTTCTCCAATGTCTGACTTTATAATTGATAGGGGTAGTCCAATTTCGGACTATTCGCCAATGGTAGGTGTTCCAATAATACCTCTTTTAGTTGCAATATTCTTCTCTCTCCAATTTCAATTGAACCACCTATTTTAAAATTTATTTGTCCAAACATATGGTTTTTTTTGTTTTAGTTATACATCTCAGAGGCACATAGAATATCTTAATGAGCATGGAATTAGTTGACAAGTCTATTCAGTTACATGTTTTACTATTTACAAATGATTTTTCACCATCAGTATTGCAAACGTTTCTTATTTATAACTTTCATTTTCCTTGATTTTCAAATCGTCCAGTTCAAAATTGATCCCATTTCGAAAATTTCAACAATTTGTTTTATTGCAGCCTAATAGTTTTCAGGGTCAGACACTGATTTTCTTCATTGACCTGTCTGTTCCTAAAACCTTTTTTTAACAAGTTAACTACAATGAATGGGTCAGTGGCGCTAGTCACAGAATTGTGTTAAGATGCTTGATTATTTTAGATGAGCTAAAAATAATAAGATTTTTCCCAACACCACCTTTCTGCGTTCAATATTAGCAGAGATAACGCCCTTTGAGAAGTCCAATTTTTGACGCCATCCACCGCGGTAGTGACACCTTTGGTTTCTTTCTCCTTGCTTTCATCCGACATTCATGTTGAGTGAAAAGTGCAAATGTGCATCAGACTGACTGATGAAAGCAAGATGAAGGAATCTAAGGGTGTCACTACCGCGGTGGATGATGTCAAAAACCCCACTTTTCAAAGGGCAATATGTCTGCTAATATTGAACTAGAAAGTTGGTGTTCGGACAAATCTCATTATTTTTAGCCATTTTAAAAGAATCAAGCATCAAAACACAATTTTGTGACTAGTAGAACTGATCAATTTTGCTGAGTTCAAAACGACTCATAGAAGATTTTTACTAACACTAATTTCCAAAGGAAGACAAGTAGAAACTTTGGCACCACTGTCTTGTTAGCCTCTGTGTGACAGTTATACAACATGCACCAAAAATATTTTCAGATCATGTAAAACTATTATCTCTAATCAGTTTTTTTAACTTTTCTCCCTCTGAGATTGAGCATCTCTGAGATGAACAATGCAGTTCTTTTTCCCTATTGTTCTCTTCGTTATTCTTGATATATCGACCAGGAACAGCGCAGTTTAAAGCTCTCAGATTTGTAGCTACAATGCTAATCATTGACCGCTTGACAAGGAAATCTTCTATTTACCCGACTTGGTTGCACTGTGATTCAAGAGAGTCTCCTCTCTCAGTGCATCAGGTAAACTGAAGACTTGGTAATTTCCATACATTGTTGCTACTGTTGCACCGCGTAAAACGCAAATTAATAGGCTTCAAACTGGACTTATTGTTAGTGTGGTAAACAACTTGACCAATATCCTGAAGGGATGAGAAAATAATTCTCATTGGTCTGATGCATTTTGGAATGATAACATGTTAACAATTCAAAAAATTAACGTATAGGTAATCTGAAAATGTCATCACATAGAACTCAATTTTCCTGAGGGATTTTCTTGATGGTTTGGTCTGAACTATTCAGACAACCATTTTTCACTTCGATTTTTAATTGTTGACTAAGACAAGTATTTTTTTTTCTTTCAGAATGGATGTCGTACCGGAAGACGCATAATAGAAAGTATAAACTATTTGCTGGTAAGTTTTTCTAGCTTCTCTCTTGCTGTGTAGCCTAAAAAACTTATTTTAAGCTCTTGATGAGGACTGTATGAAACCACAATTGTTTTTGGGTTCTGACAATTAGGATAGCCACAGTGACGTCATAACCAAACACGTACAGTATTTTTTTTCAAAAATTGAGCTCCCCGTAACTCGAAAACCACGCATCTTAGAGGATTTTGGTAGGGGACTTATCTGTTTGTTTTGAGCTGTAGAACAACCCCTGAAAGTTTGTCGCTACTTAGTTGGGGAAATGCAGATGCATCGTGAACAATATAAATTCTTGGATGTGGTTCACAGCACTTGTTCTCACACCACAAGAATCTTGGTTGTGGTTATGAAAGGGTCTTTGTCATCCTTCTTATCTTCACAAAATTTCTCGCCCTCTAAAATGTTTGGAGCTCTTGATTTTGAGAACAAGCTGACCAACCTCTGCATAGCCAAACTGATTGAACGTATCGAATGTGGTAACATTTTGGATAGCAAAGATTAAATTTGTCTCAGTTAAGTATTTTCCTAAATGACTGGCGATTTTTTTTAGTAAGATCTCTGAGGCTTTGAACGTCCCAACGTTGGAGTCTAGGCATCATACCTATGACCTCGCTTTGGCGTTCAGAGTCCTTGGAGGTCATATTTCGGCTCCAGATCTGTCTCAGCTGTTTCAGGCGAGGGAGGTCAACTACTCCCTGAGAGTTGCCCGTCCTTTATTTGACAACCCCGCTAGGACTTCTTACCGTTTCCACTCGGTGGTTGTCAGAGTAAAGAGGTGGTGGAACCTACTGTCGCCTGGGCTAGCTGATGAAAGTCTGGAGACGAACCTGTTTAAGTCTAGGGTCAAGGACTACTTTTTGAAACACTATGTTCCCTATTAGTTATATTCTTTGTCTTGTACTTTTGTTTCTTTGTTTTATTTGTCAGTTGAGTTTATCATTTGTTCAGCTGTTTTGCTCTTTTTTGTTAATTATTTGGTAACTGGGCAACTTGCCTGTTTTGTATAATAAATAAATAAATAAATAAATGATGTAAGGCTGAGCTGCAATGGAGAATTTCACATCAATGCAGCAATGCTGGATGTGTATAATTCTTGCACAAATTGCATTTCATTGGTATTGCTCTATTCTCCGGGCGGAAAGGGACAGCATCTTTATCTTCGTGCACAAAGTGAATATTATAAGCATTAGAAGCAAATCAGTGCTTCAAGTTACAAAATGTGTCTTATCAGATAGCGATGTTGTAAATCTCTGATCATGTTTAGAATCTTGAAGGAAAGCTAACCAACATTTCTATTTTTGTTTGTGAATTTTCTTTGTTCTTTCCACTCAAATTCCACTGAATTGCAAGGAAACATTTTGACTAGTTTTCTTTGACGAAAATGAGACTGGATTGGAGATCGTCAAATGATTACTCAGATAGCTTAAGATACGCATTTTTCGTCTTCAGCTATTGATATGCTGTTAAGGCATATCTGTGCTGCTATCAATAGGATGCTGTTTTTGTTTTATTGATTCTTTTTATAATAAATGTCAGATGATGCAACAGTGTATTCTTTAAAATTTGGTACAGAATTCTAAGAGAAAATCCTGTTTATAAAGGTTAGAGACCAAGAAGCATAGAATAAATAGACTATGCCAACAGAAGCGAAAGCCACCGCCACTCATATGTTATTGAATCGAAACTGAGTCAATAAGGAAGCGGCATGTGGACGTTCTGGAGAGGTGGAATGATAACGGATACAGACTGTTTTAAGAATTAAAAGAGACTTTTTTACACTTATTTACCGCTAATCTGGAGAAGTACTGTAAAGTTCCTTAAACTTGTATGTTTCTTTCCAATTTTATAATTGTAGGTTAACCTCAAATCAGGTTTCAATAAGTACGAAGATTGACCGACCCTGGGAAGAAAAATGTTAACATTGGTTCTTACGGAGCTTTTGCTTCAGTTGATGTAGTCCATTTATTCTATGCAAGAAGTTTCCAGTATGAGTGGTTTGGATACATGCACAAATATTTTATATTGCTTTTATAAGCCAAAAAACAGGACTGTTTACCACTAATGAAAGCTGCGTCGGAAGGTTTTTCAAGAACCGTCAGGAATGAGTCTGCAAATGTTGATGTTTGAGTTTGGTCGCCACCTTGAACTGTAGCATTTCAACATGCATATCAATAGCTTTGGATACCATGCGTTGTTGTTCAAACCTATTGAAGTTTTACCTCAAGTTAATCAATGCTATCTTTTGTTCCAGTTGTTTACCATGAAGGAAAAGAAGCCTCAAAGGGTCATTATATTGCTGATGTCTACCATCATGGTTATGAAAGCTGGATCCGATATGATGACTCCAACGTTAAGTTCATAGATGAGTCAGAATTCTTAAAACCGAAGCCACCAAGAGTACCTTATCTCCTGTATTATAAAAGAATTGATACTTTAATAACTCCAGTAATTTCTACCAAGTCACAGCCAGTGAACTCTACTCTGAAAAATAGATAATCTCTGGTATGTACCTAATCCCATAATAGTTCCTCCTATTCCTGAGGGTGTTGATATTATTTTTGCTAACACTCAATGCATTGTTAAAATTGAATTTTTTATTTTTTAAACTGACCCCAAATAATTATTACTATTGTTAGCAAGCTTAACCGACAGCACTATTCAAAGCTGTTGTTGAAAGCTACTTGTAGAAAACCTTTTGAGCTGTGGCATTATTTGAATTTTGTATTATGCTGGTGATACAACAGTGGAAACCACTCAATGACTTAAAATAGATTGAGTAGTGGAAGCAAATTTTATTATTTAACTTTTCTCAAGTGAACCTTGAGGATTCTCCTCTGTAAACTGACTCAAGCATGTTGGAAGTTTTCTTGAATGTTTCATCCAATTAAGCAAACATGTTGCGTGTGTATCCCCTTCAGCTGAATCGGTATCGGCCAATGTAGAAGAATCACTGATGGTAATTAATCGAGGCAGTAAACAAGATACGTAAGAGATACTAATGTTGAGCGGCTGCTGTTAACTCCTTGACTGCCGTGATTCGATGTATTGATATATTCCTCGGTGGCCAAACAACTATTGTTATCACAGTTGATTTTTCCGAGTCAGTTGAGCTACAGGAAGCGCGCTATCTCTCGGCATTTTAGTGAACTAGCAGTAGTGCTTAAAGACCGACAGAGGATACCACTGTCGTTTCTGTTGGAGATTTTTTTCAGAGCTTGTCGTTCAAATTTGTGAAGCTCGTCCTTCGTGTGTTTCCGTGCCCTCTAGGAAATAAGTGCTAAAACCCTTCGGCAGTCAACGTGTTAATGTCAAATCTGTACTTCATGATCTTAAGGCAGAATGCAGTGGGTGATAACAAAATTTATGTGAAGAATGGTACCAGGCATCTCGATAACCCATAGAGAGTTGCCCTCGGCTACCAGCAATTTGCGTGCAGTTGCCATAAATGATATAGTTAGCGAAGAGATCAGTTTTAAGTATCAGTTGCAAGACAAGTTGTCTACAAGAACCTGTAGTTAGAAGTCCTTTGACGTAAGTCTCAGTGAAGCAGTGATTGTATTAGTTCGAGTACCTCTTGATTTGGTCAGTTGGAATCATGAGAAGTTTCATCGATTTTGTCTTTCTTGCGGTTCCTGTGGTTTTCATTTACCCTACTAGGAAGTTTCAAGTTGATAACGACAACCAGCTGATCCGAGAGCTATGTGTCCAACTTTGAATGGTTGAAGTCATATGAAACCCACACAAAGGAGATAGCAGAATGGGTCTGTTGCTCACATGAGACAGAGGAAATAATGAAAATGCTTGCTGCTGGTCAGTTAAGCGCTACATCGTAGATTTTAGACATTTCTAACATGCTCAAAATGATTTTCGTTTGATTTTACTCCTTTAATGTCTACTCAGTTGGCTGTATCTCATGAGTGCGGCGGGCTTATTTAGGCCCCAAATCATGAGGAACTAAAATGAACATGGTATAATTATTGATGAATCCTGATAGAAAGTATTTTTCTTCTAAGCCTGTTTTTCTGCCTGAAGAATCTAGATTATCTTTCTCCAACAATTATGGCATATGAGGGAATAAGGTCTAAATTGGCTGAAACATTCTGAACTTCACCTCCAATATAGTCTTCTCATGTAGCCAAGTGTGTATCCTTCTACTGGAATTTTAATCCAATTAAATTGGCACCTGTCAATATCCCTAATTATTTATCTTCTCTACCCAGTTTGCATTTTACTGTGTATTTGTTCGAGATAATTGGTTGTAATGTTATAATTTTGTAGTAGTTTACCGAGAAAACAACCTGCAATATCGTAGTTGTATTCACTGAGGTATGCGTTTTCTTCTTAGAGCCACAGATTGCCGTTCTTTCTTTCTCTCTTAATTGTTTCTTTGTACTTTGCCTGTAAAATGTAAATATTAATTTTATGTATTCATTAATTAGTCATTTTATTGTGTTAATTTATTTTTTCTTTAAATTTTTATTGTTATTTTTTTTACCAAGAAAGTGACTCACAATCTGAAATTTTCATCTGAAGGGAAGGGGAAGCATCCAAAATTAGGGATTGAAATTTAGTTGATTTTGCTTGTAAGGATCGTCCACCAATCTGTTTCTTCTTTTTTCTACCCCTGTGTTTCTCCAAAGCTGTAGTGTAGAAATTTTCAAAGCTTTGCCCTTTGATAAAGAGGAATTTTTGCATCTCTTCAATCCAGGGAGCTCTTCCCACAGAGAATGTTTATGATGGAATCCTCAAGCAATAGTGATATAATTGAAGCTTCATTTTGAATAAGTTTCATTTTGTTTTAAGTTTTAAGGCTAAAAACAAAAAGTCAAATTTCGTATCTTGACACGTCTGTTTTCCCCAACTGTTAGCACAGTCACACCTCAAAGTATGGCTTACTGCTCTGCCCATCTCTTACCAGTCCACTAAACAGTCCTTATAAAACCATTCATAAGAGGTTAATTTAATCGTGATGAAGTTATATTTTTAGATTTTCCTTTTTTTACTAACTCGTGTGATGATTAATTCTTTTTAGTGGTATATTTTTATGAGGAAAGTGAAAAATCTGTCAGTTTGCAAGTGTAAATTTTGTATTTTTCTATACCATACAATTGAATGCTTGATATACAGTTATTTTATCAAAAACTTTCAAGTGTGCGGTGGTACTCATAAATATTGTCTTTATGTGAGGAACCTGCCAGCGATTGATTAATCGGTTATTTGTATCTACTTTTTACGAAATTCTGTATCTATGAACAGTTAAAAAATTACCTGTTGTTAATTGTTGATTGTATATTGAAGTTACTGTTTTCTGTTCTTTTACCTATTTATTTCTTTATTTTTTCTTTATTATTTTTTTTTTTTTTTTGTAGTTTCCCAGTCCCTCATAAATTGTAAGAACCATATTTCATTTGTATAGTATTGATTGTTTTCATAATCGTTGATGTTTTTTAATTCATCTTATTTGATTGAGTTTCTCACTGAGGTGGAACCTGCAGCTTTGAGGAATTTTAAATAAAGAGGAAATATGGAAACCTTTTGAGAATTCTTTATGTATCTTTTCATTTTATATACTTACCTACAAAGCGAGTAAGTCAGCGAAAGTCAGACGAAGTCACAAGAAACACATTTTTCCCAAAATTTCCTCTAATAGGTATTAACTCCTAAAGGCGAATAAAATTCCTTATTCATTGCTGCTTAAAAGGATAAATAAAATTATTAGCCCTTTGGTCGTCTGTTTTCCTTTCGCAGAGGACTTAAGTTTTTCTTGCATTATTTTAAGAAGAAAACAATCTTTTTTAAACTTTAATGAAGCTTAAGTATCCAAGTCAAGCTATGGTGGAGGACAAGCTGTTTAAATGTGCAGTACAACATTATGTTTGTTACGGGTTTTGCCACGCATGTTAAGTTGCGTATACTGAAACAGAGGGTTAAATTTAAACCAGCCCGATAAGACATCAAATTGCAATATATTGCACGGTTAAGATAGGGCTATGTCTTGTCGTAAGCAGCGACATAGAGTCGATGACATTTCAATAATCGCCCCGCAGGCTTGATTTAGTTGAAGTATTCTTCATTTCCAGAGAGGATGGAGAAGTTAAGTCGGAATTTTAAAATCATACGAGCGATTGCATGTACATCAGTTGCGGTCAAAGAATGATTGTTAAACATGAATTCAAGGTATGATAGAATAGAGGAGGGTTTATCCCCCTAAAGGCCACTGGCAGCTTATGCTCTTTGAACCTATTTCTCTTTTTCCATCTTGGAACAGTGTCAGCATTTCTAAATGTGTCATTTGTGTATGATGGAAAGTAAACAAAATGCAAAATAGAGATGTTGTTGTAGAAGCGCCTCGGCCAATTCTCTAATTTTTACTCAACACAATATATTGTCTTTTTTTATCACTAAGGACAGTAATCTTCCAGAAAGGCAAGCATACATTTTAAACACACTGTCACTTTCTTTATATTGCCTGCAAAATCTCATATTTTTGACAGTTAGTAATTTTTTTAACTTTTAAGTTGGTATACGAGGTGTCATTTCTCTTAATAAAGATTTAATTCGAGTTTAAAGTGAGTTCTTTTTTATTTCAAGTTAGAGCAAAACTACAAATCCAGCATATAAATTTTCAATTTCATACTTTCTATCATATTTCATTCAAATACTGACAGTATAGTGTAAAAAAGTGAAGTAAAAGTCCAAAAGTGTTTTCCCTCAAAAGAGTGTAAAGCTTCCCATTTCACTGTTGCAATTTTCAGCAAGACATGCATTAGATACGTGAAAGATTTGCCATGGATACCTGAAGGTAACTCCTTAAATCCTGTTGTTTATCTTCATCCCGAGTGCTTCAAAATTTTGTATACGGAAGGTATGACATTTCAAACCGCCTTAAAAGAATCCTTCTCCAAACCAACATTTTCTTTCCTAGATGCTCTTTAGGAGAGTAATCTCTCTCTTATGCAACCCTGTGAATTTCTGTTCATGTCAGTGGTAACTTTACCGATTTTACTGCACTTTTTAGTTCTGATCAATCTGAGATGGAGGGAAGTGACCCGAAAATTTAATAATATTACAGGGTGTCTAGCATCAGGATTTTCCCTGTTTTCCCGATTCTATCAGGAATAGAGGTCAATCAGGATTTAATCCTGATATCATCAGATCAGGATTTGAGAAAAGTTGGCCGTCCGGTCAGATTTTTTTACTGAGCTATTTTTGTGAAGTAACATTTGCCTAATTTTTCTCCTCAAAAATACAGGATTTGGAAAAATAATGAAATCAGGATTCAGCAGTAGAAAATCAGGATTTCCTTAAATGAAAAAAAAACTAGACTTCCTGTATCAGAACGGTGTGGAAGATAAAAATTTTCCCTTCAAGACAGGCCTTTCCAGAAAGAACTTTATTTGCTGGAAAACAAATGCACAGTGGGAAAAAAGTGTTAGTCATTAGGTAGGTATTAAATTTAGGAGAGTAAAACTCATGACTGATTCTGTACCTAAGTACAGTTTTAAAATTTTAACTCAAAGTAAAATCCTCTGCGGTAAACGATTTTTCTTCAAATAATGCGACCAAGTATTTCACACCATTTGAAATGTAGCCACTGGTCTTGGATATAAAATAAAATAATGAGTAGGTACCTAAGTAATCAGGTGCCTCAGGAGGATACCTCATGACATTCATGTTGTCATGTAACCAGGTCGCAGAGACAAGGCTAGGGTGCTCGAACTTAGCAAGTTGCGGGAGGCCTGAGAGTCCCTTTGGAACCCTCCAGGAAGTGGGAGAGGAGATCTGCAACACTGCAGTTCCCCTAAGAAACTTGCCGTAAGACGCAAGGGAGGAAAACAAAAGAGGGCTGCAGTGGAATGCAGTTTCTCTTTTTCCCGTTGTTTTGCATTTCCGAGGCACTCATCGGTCTCCCGGATTGGAGGACTGATGAGCGTGGGTGGTGATTGGGACCAATCAGAAGTGATTTGGCAAGAGTCACTCGGGCTTGGTCACCCTCAGGTCACCTGCCTAGGTGGGTTCAAGGGGGCTCTCACTCGGAAAACTATCGCGGACGCGGATTTGTAACGTTGAGAAATGTGAGTCCCTAATTAAGTTGGTCCTTTGGGCCAAATTCTCTCGTTTAGTTCCTTAGCATACAAAATGTTAGGTCGGGTACGGTAGTTAAGTTTGCGGTTTAGTGTTTTGTTATTTGCTCATGTTGCTATTTTCTTGTTCGGTTGTCATTATTATTTTGTATATATATTTATCTTTTTATTTATTCCTCTTGCCTTTTATCATTGTTTCGTGTGTATGCGCTAGCCGGCCGCAAGCGTGAAATATGGCATCAGTGCATGGAGGGGTCGCATAGCAACAGTATCTCCTCGTGCGCTGACTGGTCGCAGCGGTCGCATTCTTCAACATCAATCGGTGCTCCGCACATCAGCTCCTCCATCACCTCCACTACCAAGGACTTCCTCAGTTTTCATCTTTTACTGCCGGCATCTTTCTAAGTTAGTCTCATATATCAATTCTCTAAGTGCGTTTACTTCTTGTGCTGCGTTCAGCGAAGACGAGCATATATTCCATTTTCCGTTAGTGCGTGCGGTCGGGCTCGGGACATTGGAACCCTCCATTGAGTATGTAGTGATGTACTTACTCACGTGCACGTGGTGGAACATTTCATTTGCATTCCGTAACTCGTTGATTTTTGCGCGACTTGTCACGAAAATTGAAGATTCGCGTTAGTTCGATTGATCCTGATCATCCTAGGCTTCCCAACTCGGCTCTCAACTGAATCGTCAAGCGGTCTTCTCTCTGATGCCTTTGAAATTGGCCACAACATCGTTCCATTCTGATTTGGTTCTGGAATCAAGGTTTGAGATAATTTACCCACATACTTTTGACTTAATTCAATACCCCCTAGACTGACCATACCTAAACATTCGGAACTCATCTGTGAGTGTGTGAG